AATAAACTCTAACATAATTATCTTTTTATTATTTCATTTACCAATCAATACTTCTTAAAGGAAAGGCATTTTAATTTTAGAAACCCTATTCCTGTTTCATTTAGTCAGCTAATTCTATTTCAATATCTGAAAATAATTCCTATGCTAACCTCATTTCGTTGGTTAATTCCAGATTTTGTTCCTTCATTTACCAAATAAGATTAAAATATTAATCTTAATTTAAAGTGAAGTCTTATCTCTTTTGATTAATAATATCATACAAAAACTTAGATACTTATTCAATTTCATCATCTATCATTTATTTATTTAAATCTTTATCCGATAAATCTATAATTTATTTAAACTATATATTTAATGACTCTAATAATTGAATTTGGTTGTCATCCAAATCTTAACTTGAATTTCGAATCAAAAAACAAACTATTTTGTTTTTATTATAAAAAGATTATAATTTTTACAAATTTTATATGGTCATTTCAATTTCTTTTTCAGTATTTAATTAAATAATCCATAATCTAAACATTCGCAAATATCATCTAAAGTTTCAAAAGGAATAAAATTATGAGCATCAGCTACTGATAGATTTCTTGATCCACTAAATTCAAAATCATACATAATATCAATTGTTTAATTATTCAATTAGTTACTGTCCAAAATTTCAAATTTCTTTTATTAAAAGGAAATTTTGTTAATTAATTCTGTTTTCCCTATTCTTTGTTGTTCAGGATCTAAACTTAAATTTATAATTGGAAAGTTCTCTTAGAAAACATAAAATGTATTCTTATTAAATGTTAATTTGTTTAAATCTTTTTTTTTTTTTTTGGAGGGAGTTTTATATAATAAAGGAATTGGATATGATTTACTAATTAGTTTAAGAAGTATAATCTTTAATTCATAATTAGCATTAGTATAGAATATTTAAAAAATTGACTTTTAATTAAAATATCCATATTTTTCTTGCAATTCTTTGCTACTCATTAATTACTAGTTAACAATTGATAAGAAATTTTTAGATGATTCTCCTCTTTTTATGATGTTAAAAAAGAATGGTATTAATTTCTTAAGATTAATAGAATCTTTTGCATCCTTTATCCAATTATTTACTAAACCTAATTGATCTGCTCTACTTAATAATGTTGATGCAATATTAAACTCTTCTAATGAAATATTTAGATTTCTTGGATAAATGTCACTTTTTAATAACAACTCAAATATTTCAGGGTGAAATTATGGATTGTTAAAGTAATTGACTTTTTAGAATATCAATTGGTATTTAATATGCATCTGTAATATAAAACTATTGAGCATTGTTTCTCAACTCTTATAATTCGTTTAATTACCAATAATAAATTAATTTATAAACCTTCTTTAAATATTCCAAACCAACTTTATTTTTTTATAATTCAAAAAAGAAGTTCAGACAGTAAATTTAGTGAAATTCTGATACTTTTTCTATATCAAACATATATTAATATGTCTCTTCATCCTTTATTGTGTTAATTACTTAAAATAATATTTCAACAGAATTCATATAATCATCATATAAAATTTAATTTGATTTATTAAGAGATATCAATTTATGAATTTAGTAGTCTTGTAAACATGAGAACATCAAAAAAAAATATCGAGTTTACTCATTCTACTATTGGATGGCTCTATTTTTATCAAAAAGTTTTCTCAAAAAAATTAGAATTTATAATGATATGTTCTACGACTGAGATTAGAAATATTGTGCAATTAAAAATTGAATTTTTTTTTTTTCACTAAATACCAATGATCATCTGAAAAATCATTGAGTAATTCAATTTTTTTATCCAATTTCATATTTTCATTATATTATGATATTTTTAAAAAGGTTCTCCATTTCTCTTTCAAAGATTATTTAAGAAATAAAAATGAAGTAAAGTCTTGATTTTGAATTTTACTACTATTCTGAAAACAATTTCTAATTCTTAATTAGAATAGGTTGTTTTTAATTATTATAATTCCTCAGCAACATGAATTAAATTTTAAGTTTTTAAGGATTTCAATAAGGATGCTAAAGATGTTACAATTTTTACAAAAATATTATTTAATTGATTTTTAATTCTTTGTAATTTCCCGAAATCATTTATACTTATCGTTTAACATAAACAGGTATTTCAGTAAGTAAGTTGAATATTTTTGCCCTTTAATCATTTTATTCATTTAAATGTATAATATGCAACCTTTTATTGAGGTAATGAAAATCATCTTCAATTATTCTTTAAAGCATCTCATCAAGTGACTAACTGATCAATGTTTTCCATTCACCATTATTTGATATTTATTCATTTGAATATTATTCATAACTTTTAAATTACATTTGATTAAATTACTACAAATTATATTTGCTTTTTTCTTATATATATAAATTAAGTTCTTTATACCTTTCAACCTTATTAGAGGCAAGCATATATTTTTCATAATATTAATTGAAATGTGCCATGCAATAAAAACATATCTAATAAAAAATAACTTAAAGTTCAAAAATGACTGGAAGTTATTGTTAAATTAGAATATCAATTTCTTCAAAATTAAAAATTTAATCATTTTTATCTAACAATTTTCGATTTATTATTAAGCCACATTTATCACTTATTTTTTTTTTATTAATAGAATTTTACCTATTCTTTTGACAAAATTATTGTATTTAAAATACCTATTACATTTAAATTTTTAACATCTCCAAATCAGGTGATAATAATAATTAAGGAATTTCAGAAAGAGTTTTGACTTTATTTTAATTCTATTATTGGAATTACAATAATTCAATATGATACTCAAATTACATGCAACATTCACATAAGATTTCCCCTAATAATAGATATAATTCCATTTATTCTTTACTGCTTATTTATAATTCCTCAGGATATAAAAAAAGAATACTAAATGGCTCAAAATTGTTGAATTTAATTGAAATGACTAATCATAACATTATTCTATTAAATCAATAAGCTTGAAACTATGATTTTTAATTTTTTCAATGATATGCTTGTGTTAACGAAATAAAGTAGGAATCTAGTAGTTTTCTAAAAATTCTTTTTCATCAAATAGTTTAATTAGTTTATGATAATCTTCATCAAATAGAATTAGTTATAATTTCTCATTTTATTCATAAACTTTTTGATTTTGTTTTAAACCATAATAATCATTACAATAATTAATCTTTTTTATTAAACTTTTTGGCGCATCTTATTCTTTGATGATTTAAAAAAGAGTTGAATTATACGGAAAGTACTGCAAAAAGTATTTTATAGCCAGTTGTTTATCATCATCATTTAATTTATGAATAAAACTTTTAATTATGCGCTTAAGGATGTAATCAGATGTGATTAAATTATTATTTTCTCTATCATCCACGATGGCATACATCTCGATTGTCCTATTATAATTAGACACTTTGATGTCTTGAAACATTATAATATTTATATAATAAATGTAATTTATATAATAATTTTCTCTTATGATTTTAAACAAAATTAGGTTTTTTATCTAAATAATTAGATCATTAAAATATTAATATATTGGGTGAATTTTATTTGTTTGGTTAAGATACCAAATATCACATTTTGATTCAATATAAAGATATCAATCTTAAAAATGGAAATTTTGGTTATTCAATAATTTCTATTGATAAAATTGAATGATTTTAATAATGATCTCCAATTCTAAAAATAATGCAGATATTAAGAATACACTATTATTTTACTATTTTAATACTAATATTCTGATAAAATTTGTATTGATTTAGTAATTAATTATTAATTAAAAACTTATTTACATATTAATAAGGAATTGTTAGATAATATAAAAATCATTCAAATTCCATATCATCATTTGAACTGAGTTCACTATCTGAGTTTTCTTAATAGACAATTTAATATGGGTTTTAAACTCCAAGATGAACTCTTCTGATGTAACAATAGAATCTGTTTTTTACCATGTTTTCCTAATTGGTTTAAGAATAATAAATATACAGGTCTGCCTTTTAGATGAGATGAAATAAGACTCCATTTGCCTCCATAATCCTAATACAATCTGATAATGGTGGCATCTTCAACTTCAGTCCATGGACCTGTGTTAATATCTGGATCAATTTTATTAATATATCGTTCTCTTATCTATTTGCTCAAAATACCCGGAAAGTCTAGGGCACTATAGTTGAATTAATTTTTACGTAAAGCGATTAGCTTCCAATTCTTGCCATGTTATTAGACTAATTGAAGAATTTTCTCATCTTCATTTTGAGTCCATTACTTTCTTTTAATCTAGAAATATATATATGTTTTATTACAATCTTAACAGGTTATAATCTCCTCCATCTTTAACAACATTATGAAACATTTCTTCCTGGCATGTGCTTAGCAATTTCATTCCACTTTCCATTATGCTTCTCATATTGGATACGCAATTAAGCATCTTCATTGGCATCCCACAGCTTCAATATTCGTTTCTAGGTGATATAAGGAGATAAATAATACTTTTTTTGTGTGAGTTTGTTCCTTTTTGATATTACTTTCATTTTCCTCTTACATAGGTTGATTACTGATGACTTCATCTTAGAGGATAAAACCGGATGGTAATTGAGTAGAAGGAGGATCACTCGAAGATTAAAAACTTATATTAACAAATAAGAACATACTCCATCTATTCCATGTAGTAGTCATTATCCAATTGTAAGTATTAATCCGTTTCTATAATAGAGTTCTATTAAGCCTAGTTTGTCATGGCTTCTTAAATTACAGGTTAGATAGACAAAGTTTATGCTGGTTTTTGTATTGGTCTATTGGATTTCTCTGGTTTTTCTCTATTAGAGAAGCAGCAGATGGATTAAAAAAAATTGAACATGATAATTAAAATAATTTCAAATCTCAGCAAATATTATGTTAAATGTCCTTTTATTCCAATTCGGAAACATTCCATCAGCATAATCCATCGGACCGGGGATAATATTTTTAGGAACACTTTTTGAGAATCGTTCTTGCTATTTATATTGAATTGTATTAATACCTTGCACATAAATGGGGGTGGATCTTTCTTTTTTTTTTTAAATATTCCTAATTAATTTTACGCTGATTTTTCTAAATAAAAAGGTTCATCCTCCTCCTCATCTTCATTAGCTTCTTTTATTTTCCATCTCTCAGCTCCAACTCCAAATGGAGGTTTAACTACTGCCAGCTTAGGATCTTCCTCTTCTGGTTTAATAATTTTATTGGAAATTGTATGTTAATTTACATTATAGGCACCTGGGGCTGGATTTATATTTGGTATGGATAGATCTTAGCTTTTAGGAGCATGACTCATAAAAGCAAATGTTCCCTTTTATTCTGGTAATTTCCTATCCTTTTTTTCGTCATCTATTTTATTGACTTCATATGCTCCAGGTCCAGGTACTAACAACTTTTATTCTTTAAATCTATTCTCATTAACTCCAAATTATCCCAAGGGGGCCTTCATTAACTTTTAGATTAATTTTTATTCCATTGTATTACTTGCTTTATATTACCCTGGAGCAGGAGTTTCTGAAATTTACTCCTCGAACCTACTCTTGCTAATCAAAAAGGGAGGTTAGGCACCTTTATATCTTTGAGCAGCGATTTCCAATTAGTAACTACCAGGACCAGGAGTATGTTGCGATTTTGTTTGAAATCTTTTAGTTCTAGTTTTAATTGATCCTTTAATTTGAGATTAGTTTAAAAATTAAGAAATAGTTTATTAAGTAGAAGCATTTTCATAGTAACCAGGACCTGGTGTTGCATCCTAATTCATTTAAATATAGTACTTCAATATAACTATATTCTGAATCAGCATCTGTTTCTCGAGCAGTAGTAGCTGGATTGGTCGATTGATGAAAACTATACTATTTATTGTCCAATCCCTTTTTAATATATCCAGTGTTGCTTTTAAGATTTTGGAATCTGAAATCAGAATTTCTACTTTATTTGGAACTAAATGCTGTGGTTGGTTTCATTTGGTACATAGGTTAAGATTGACTGCTGACATCATAATAACCAGGGCCAATTGGTGATTTATAGTCCTTTTTGTCTTAGCTTCTTGGTTTATGCCAAGAAACTCCCCTGGGTTTTGTATTGTTGAATGTACTTTTAAAGTCATATGATCCTGGTCCAACATCATTTGAGGAGTCAACTGGATTTTATTCCAACTGATTGTCTTGATTTATTATTGAGTAAAACCTTTATTCTCAATATAGCCTTAATGAACATTGGAAGGGATGGAAGGTATGCTGATGTATTTGTTGTCCTTTACTAATTACTCTAAAATATTGAGTTTTTTTGAGCGATTCACTTGGCCTGCGGAATGAAATTTCTTCCTTTCTTCTTGAAAGTATTGAGTTGGTCTATTGATAGATAAGACACTTTTACCCTGGTCCTTCAAATCTATCATCTTTAAATCTCACAGTAGTTGATCTGAAAACTGATATTGGTTTAGGTACTTCCAAAATTTTGATTTCTTGTTCATCGGATTAGAATATCACCTTCTGACACTCGAAGGAGCCAGACAGATTGTAAGTTCCAGGGCCAGGAATAGGATGGAGCTAATTAGATTTATGTATTCTATCGACAGTTGAGTTAAATGGATGTTGATTAGATCTTGATTCAATTTCAGGAATGTGATCATATTGTCCAGGTCCTACCTATTCAGTTTTAGGTATGTATGTCCCTCTATTTTCACTTCTATATACAAAAGCCATTTGAATATACTATATAGTTAATTAAATAAACTATCAATCCTTTTAAGTAATCCATTCCAATAATGTCCCATTGTCCCATCTGCCTCTATGTTCCTCTCCTTTTTCATCAACGACCGAACCTAACCCATGTTATTTGCCGTCATGCCATTCTCCTACATACTTAGATCCATCAGCTATAAGAATATTATGCTGATTTACGCCAATCAAATGTCCCATAACCCTGTTTCTTATCATTCTAATAAGATCCTTTATATCTTCTCCCATCTGCCCATTTGAACTCTCCTAATCCATGCATTTTATTTTGCCTCCATTATCCAATGTATGTTCTCCCATCACCCCAAACATATGTTCCCATTCCATGTATTGCATTATCTAAGAATTCACCTTCGTAATATGATCCATCTGGCCATTTGAAAATGCCATGTCCTTCCTTCTTACTTTAAATGTAAGCTCCTTTATAACTTGTACCATCAGGCCATATTTCATGTCCCAATCCATCTTACTTATCATCTTTCCAACTACCTTCATAACTTGCCCCATCAGCATGGACATACTTCCCTTATCCATGTGCTATTTTTATACTTACTATACTTTACCTTTGTCATTGTCCCATTCGCCTTCATAATAATCTCCATCTGCATGTATTAATCTACCATGACCATGTGCACAACTATTTTTCCAATATCCTTCATAATAACTACCTTCCTTCCAAACTTGTCTTCCTGATATATTTAATTAATTCCATACCTCGACCCTGTCTTAATCCATATTTCCATTAACCATCATAAACCATCCCTTGTTCAAATATTTATGGTTCCAGGTATACTGCCTCTGGATCATCACCTCTTGTATACTAGTACTCCTTTAATTTACTAAGGACCATTTTAACTTTGGGACCAATCAAACTTTATAATTCGCCTGCTGGTCTACCCCAAGGTTATGCTAATTTGGCTATAGGACAATGCACTGAAATTAATTGTTCAGAGTTAGTTTTTTATTTTTAAATGTCCACACCATTTCCAACCATTGATAGTGAGGCCTCTTTTTAAATATTAATTGATGGTTTTTGACTTGTTCTCAATTAGTGTTAAGAAGTATTCACAATCTCTGCCAATGAGGCTTTTGAAAAAGGCTACGATCTTCTAACTATTGAGTGCAAAGATGTTTGTTTAGCATTTTAATGAGTACCATATTCATTTAAATTTTGTGGATCATTCATACATGCCTGACAATTACCCATTTCTATTTTGAAATTATATAAATAATTGATTAAATAATTTTACACATTCAAACTATCTCATTTATCAAAAAATATTTATCATAATTATTATTAACTACTCTCAAAATTTTTCATACTTTTAATTAAGTGAGGATATTTTTAAAAGAAAATTAACTAAAATTTAATCATAGAATAATGATACTTATTGATTAAATATAAATTGCAATCATTTATTGAAATATTAAATTAAATCAAATTAACTATAAATAATATTCTTCACATTATCATCATATTAATTTTCAACATAATAATAAATAAGAATCAATATTAATAATTATAATTTAAAATAGTACTCTTTTTGCATATCAATTAAAGAATTGATTATTTTAAATATTTTTTTATGACATCTGATTACAATGAAATGTTTAACTATTAATTCTTTGAAATTTTATTAATAGACTTCAGAAAATGATGGATTGAAATAGTTAAAGGGATGAGTTAATTGTCATAGTGTCAGTGCGGTTTTTTTAAATGATAATTTCAAGAGACAATAATTTATTCCATTTCAAACTATCTTTAATTTATTGGGTTCAAAACTAACTCAAATATCCTAATAATTCATTAATAAAAAGTCCAGAAACTCTAAAAAGACACTCTTTGAATAAATTGGGAGGTGAAGCCGCTGTCACAGCTGTGACACCATAATTCTATGCTAATATCCAAGCTGACGCTACAGTTTCCAATTTCTTCAATGGAATCAATATGGCTGATTAAAAAAATAAGTAAGCTTCATTTTATGCGCTGCTCTTGGAGAACCAAAGGCTTTGGGAGGCAGAGTACTAAATTTTATGTTAATATTTATTAGAACTTGAAGGAAGTTCATGCCAACATGGAAGTAACAAACGCCCAGTTCACAACAGTAATTGACTTGAGAAGTGCATTGACCTCAGCTGGCGTTGCTGTTGATTTGGTCGAATAAACCGTCGCTGTTGCTGAAACAGTTAGAGGAGACTTCGTCACAGCCTGATTTATATAATATATCATGTAATTATATCCTATAGCATCTTAAATGTCTATCCTCATTTTATTGCTAGCCAATTATTTCCAAAACAAAATTAGAAAAAAATTTCTAATTAAATTTTTTCACAAAATGTAATGAAAAAGTGGCTGTGCTTTTCATTGTTATTCTTAAATTTTGGGTTTGGCTCTAAAATTATTTTTATATTCTAACAATATAAGTAATCAATTTTAGACTGTAAATAAAAGTTCGATGTTGATGTTAAATAGAAAAATTAATTGAATAGCATTTTATCAAAATAAATTGAGAAATTAATAAAATCAACAATAAATAATAATTGTCATAAAATCATATGTATCTCTTTAGTTTATTATATAAATGACTCTATTTATGAATATTTTAATATTATTATACTCTTAATTTCTTACTATAATATTATAAAAATAAATGGAAATAATCAAAATAGGTTCGATTGTGAGTATTTCTCATTTATAGGATGATGATGCATTAATAGGTGGAGATGGATTTATAAAAAAGTATTATGAAATGAATAATGTAGCGCTGTAATTCTTAAAGGGATGTCACCTTAGAATAAATTGGACACCAAGGATTTCAACATAAGCTATTTTAGTCAAATGAAGTAAACAAGGTTGTTATAATAGCATGCCAAATTGCTTATTTGTAATTTGTCCAAGGACATCAAATGGCAAGAAAGTTGAAGTTGCTAAACTTTTTCCGTAAAGAAAAAAGAAACCTTTCGGATCAATTAGCGATGATGTAACTGATTAAAAAAGTGAAGTTACACCTGTGAAGTCATAAGTATTATAATGCTATATCTGTTATGTAGATTAAATCAGCCACTCATTCGGTACAATCATTATTGAGTGAAAAGTAGGTGAGAGATAATCAAATGAATTTATTCAATGAATTTAAATTCAATGTGGATGGTTTTGAGAAAGAGAAAGGCAATTATGTTAAATATGAAGAACCAATATAGCTATTACATTTGGCTTCATCTAAATGGCTTTGTTCTTTATCAGATGAGGCTAAATTCGAAAATTAAAACTTTAAGCTTGCATTAAGTGATTATACAAGCGATGAAACTCTATTCAAAATAGTGGCCACTTATAAATATTAAAAGGAAGGTGATTAAATAGTTTACTCGTAAGAAATAGTCAGAATTATGCGTATGATACCTTTTCTTGGAAAACCAACATTTTTACATTGTTCAGGTGAGATTCCATAGAAGGCAATCAAAGAATATAAAGATAGTAGTGAAGTGAAAATCTAAAAGAGAGAAATTAATGCTTCACTAGAAGAATCAACATCTTGGAAAATTAATCTTTTTTCTGAAGAATTACCAATAGATGGTGACTTGGTCTGGATCCATCATTCAGAAACATGCTCATAGTTGGCTGTTGATTATGAAAGAGACCTCAACAAAGCTAAACTATCTGTGTTTTAAACAGATTTAAGTGAGTTATCATTTGACAATTATAGTGGCAATGCCTATTCATTGTGGATAATTGAGGATGAAGATTATAAAAAAGGAGGCCCTTACTTATATTCTAATAATTATAGATTAAAGCATTTCCACACTGGATTATATTTAGCATGTGTAAGGGTTATTCCTAAAGAATAAGAAGATATTAAAATTGATCCATATGGGAAGAAGAAAGTGATCATCCCAAAGAGTAAAAAAGTACCTGCCACTTTTGCCTTATAAGTTCGACCCAATAAGGATGCATTATTTAAATTTGAGCCCTTAAAATCTGTAGAAAAGAATGAGATTTAATCCGATTTTATTTAAATTAAGAGTGTAACTTAAGGAAAATACCTTGATGTTATAAGTAAATACCATCAGGATGGCAGCACCTTTAAACCAATTATTTTAAATCAAAAAAACGAACATGCTGTTTTTAAAATATTCAGAGCTAATAAATAAGAGACTTAAGAAGTACTATTTTTAGATTCATGTACAAAATAATTAAGAAAGTATCAATTTTATATCAATTTGCCTTTTAAGTTTGAATAAAATTAAGTCTTCTAATAATTATCTGATGATGTAGACCTCTTAAAAATTAAGACTAAAAAGTTAGCCACCACTTAAAGGTGCATTCAAAATTTGGATGACTTTCTTAGATAAAAAATATATAACTCTAGTCCTTCCCAAAAATACGGGTTCATATCTTCAAAAAGGTAGAAACTCTTAAAGGATTAACATTTCTTTGATGTCTTATTGCAGATTCTGACAGCCACAGTTACAAAACAGGAATTAGAGACATGGGCAAACAAGAAGGGAGCTCTCAAGGCTATGGAGTAGCCTTCAATGACTGAGAAAAACTAAAGAAAATAATTGTAAAGCATATCTGAAAAGGAGAAATTAGAACTATCTAATTCAAAGATTGAAGTTTGCAATCTGATATTTATGCTACTTCAAACTAGTGTTATTAATAATACAAGCAATTAATTGTATCTATTTGAACGATTACCTGATTATTAGCATTATTGCAAATATCTCCCATAAACAATCAATTTTTTAATTGAAATGGTTAAGTGCAATGAAAAAATTTTAATCAATTTATGCAACAACTTAAAAATTGAATTTGATTACATTAAAAAACAAGAAATTGAAGATGATCTAAAAAATAAAGTAAAGGTCTTAATCAATTTCTATGAAAAAGATGTTGGAATATAATAGGAAGTTTCAATTCCTGTAAAAGTACATGATCGTATCATTACCAGACCTATTAATATAATACAATATTTTTTCAATCTGATGATTGATGATACTGCTAAGAATAATGAACATTATTTGAGATTTCTTAGACACTTATGTAGATATAAGAATAATGCCATTAGTATCAATTAAGAGAATTTGTTCAAATTGTATAAGAAATATAGCAAACAAACTAAATTGTTACATATTGAAACTAATAATGGATGTATAATAGACAAAGAGATCTCGTTTTAATATGAATTATTGTAATTCTTTTCTGAAGTTTCATATGGAAGAAACTATTTATGGTAAGCAGAACTAAGCCCATTGTTTGAAAAAGAGATTTTAATAAATTAAATTTGGAATCCCAGTTAAGTTGAGGGAAATCAAATAGATGATAAATTAAGGTCATTTTGGTGTAGGTTAAGTAGAACCCTGTATGTTGACTAATAACCGTTTCAATACTTGATCGTCCCAAATTATTGTAGGTTGTATTCCCCTTATTAAGATCAATTGAAAAACAGGAATGATGAGGAAATTGAGAAGCAATTCAAATTGAAAAAGATGTTTAAATACATAAAAACTAAGAGAAGCGAAGTCTATGAGGCAATAGCCAATCGTGCATCTAGTGATTTATTAAATGATGAATTGGTCTATAATGCAGCCGACCAAATCTTAACTATGTTATAATTAGACATTATGCCAAGTAAGTATTACAACAAAATAATTAAATACATGTCAGAGATGTTCATTTATGATAGAAAAAATCTTGATTATTTGAATGCTGCAGTCAAAAGCTATCAATAAACAGTGAATGAGAGGAAAGGTAAAAAAAGTATAGTTATTAATTAATTTGGAAATGTATTTAATGGAATGAAGGATCTCATATAACTTAATCAAGAAGATAAAGAAGAAGTTGGAGAGGAGGAGGAAGAGGAGGAAATTAATTTGTATGATTAACCTAAATTGTTTTTGAATCCAATAATGAAAGGGTTCATGTCAATGAGTAATCAATTGGAAGGGATGATTACTTTACCTAAATCATAGTAAGAAATTGAATTTAAATTGAAAGTGTGTTCAATTCTTGATCATTTCTTAGATCGAAGACAGAACTTCCTTATTTCTAACATTCTACTGTTCTTCTTAAAATATTAATATACAAATGACGATTTGTCAGATGAAGATGACGATTAAACTATTAAGGCTGCACCAAAGATATTTAATAATAACTATAAAACATTGATTCCTACTATTGCTAGAACTGGAATCGATGAGATTGATGAACCAGAAGATACAACTTAGGATTTCCTATAGATGGCAGTTAAGAAACCACAAACATTTACTAATTATTTCTAATAATATAGTATCAAATCTGAAGAGGAATTCTAAGAATTAGATTATTATTTGAGTTAAGCTTAAAAGTTTAATAATAATGAGAGATTGAGTGAAGATCAATTAAAGGAAAAACAAGTGGCAAGTTTACTACCTTATTTGATTTCTACTTACTTTTTGGTTAAGGATTAGGTCTTGGAGGAAAGGTGTCTAAATGTTATAATGAGGGTTTTCAATTAAAGGGAAGAGTTGAGAGAAAATATGAAAAAGTTACAGATCTTATTTGATGATGATAACATCAAGATATATGAGTTTGTTGAACATCGCTAAAGAGATTTAAGAGTAATGGTAGAAAAGACAGAAATATGGTTAACTCAATTTAAGGCAGGATATGATGTTGAAGAACTTGATAAATGCACCTAAAATATCAGACAATTAACTTTATGTATGAGATAAGGAGTCTAAGTCAATGATTAAGAGCTAGTAGTAGAAGTAGTCAATAAAGAGATTTATGATTCTGAAAAGTAATCAGTTATGACCTATTTAAATATTCACGAAATAATTGTCAATCTAATTTAAAATGGTATGGCACATTTCATTTAGGTGTTGAATGATGAATTCATTAATATAGAAAGAAAAGAACAGCTATTATAACTATTTTCAATTGCATTTAAATTTCTCATTTGCTATTGTACAAACAACAAGGGAAACTAGTTAATACTCTATCAATATTTAGAAATATATTTATAGTATATATAGTATGATATAGGATAATGCAAACTATTGATTGAAATTTTCAAAGACAATCCAAGACTTTTAAACACTGGTGTTAAATCATTGGTTTCACGTTTGACTGAAATAATAGAAAGAGAAGGAAGATAAGTTAAATTCATTGAGATGTAAATAATATGATATTAATTTTAGATTTATAAATTTAATTAGTATTGGAGGATAATATTTACTAGAAAATCAAATTTTAATATTAAATACATTCCTACCAATGAGAGAACTAAAAGAAACAGAATAAAGATTATTGTATGCAGAGGGTAGTTAGCAAAAGGATCTTCGATTTTATTTTGAAGATCAATTTCTAGATTCTGAAGAGAATTTACTACACTAATTAGAAGCAATCGATTGGAAAGATTGTTATAGAGATGAACCATTTTTATATCATTCCAAAATTCTAGACTTGTTATTGTAGACTTCTTTGATTGATAATACTGTAAGAGAATATAATCCTTCACTCATGCCTACAGATAGTTTTAATATTAGTGTTTTTAAATTAAAAAAACTGATCAAACCAAGTTATCTATTGGAAATCTTAAGATTAGATGATGATATGGTATCAATTAAACAAAGATTAACAAGAATGCCAACTCAATTTATTAAGGCTTAAGCTAATTAATAACAAGAAGAATTATTTAATAAAAGGAAAGGTTACACTTCATTAAAACCTATTGTTTGTGAGTTCCTGAGGTTGGTTCATATTGTGAGTGAAAAAAATAATGCATAAGAAGGATTACTCTCCTAATCGAGTAGACAATTTATACATTTTGTTGAATTTGAAAGTAAAAAATTAGAAGTTGTTGCAGCTGGAACAGATTATTAAAATTGCTATATAGATTATATTATTGGATAAGTTATTCCACTGATTTTATGTTATCATTAAAGAGTATTGAGTGTTTAATAAGAAGATGTGAAAACTGCATTAATTGAATTTTCTAGCCAGTTTGCCTAAGCACTTTGTTCAACTTTCTATTCAAGATTAACAAAGTATGAAGAGTTAGAAATAATTTCAAAATTGAGAGAATATTATTAAAATGAGTACTATGAACCTGCCTTTAGATAGGAAGGAGAGTAATCAATATTACATTTATACCATGTTTAATTTTAATTAGAAGATGGTGATGATTTATCAAAACCAATTTAAGAATAGATGGTCTAATCAATCCCTAAGAAATCTTAGACCAAATCAAAGAATTTATTAAGTCAATTTGCCTCTTTAAATTTGTCTTTAGTTAATAACAAAACAAGTAAGCACAAAAGAGGGGAGTTAACTCCAATAAAGTTGTAGGAGTAATGGAAGAAGTTTGTTGAGGAGATGTTTAGATCATAGAAGTTAGAAGAAGAAATAGATATTGAGAAGTAGGCATTGGCAGATGCAATCATTGGAATAGAAAAGTTAATTAAAGAAACTTGTGAAATTAAACCATCTTTAGAATCAATATTGAAGAAATTTATTACATTTCTGTAGACTGCTGTATTGCAATAAGATAATAAAGGGACGATTGTGATACTCTTAAAGATCATGTCAAAGATCATAGAGAAGCAGGATTCAGATGAAAAGAAAGAATACTATTAGAAATTATTTGATAATTTAGGAGCAACAAGAATGGTACTCAATGTTATCACCGATTATTCAAAACTACTGAGTAATGAAATGCTATTTTATTTGATTTCTTTTATTAATGTACTACTTAGAAATGGAAATACTTAAGTACAGAACACAATTTATACATTTTGTCAGACTCAATAGAAAAGTGAAGTGATGTTCTCAACATTTGCTAAGTATCTGGAAATTGCTGCTACTTCTGGAAGAGACATGAATGAAGATTAGGAGGAGGCTGAAATTTAAAAGAAAATAGTAAATTGTATCTTGAAGTTCTTTTAAAATTGTACTGAGGGACATTATTAAAATATGTAGAATTATATTAGATATTAACATAATTCGAGAGCATCTAAAGATCTAATCAATTTGGTGGCGGATTTATTTAAAAATTATGATAGAACTAAATAGAATTTCAGTAATTTAATGTGTTGTTTGGATACACTAAATGAATTGGTTTAAGGTCCTTGTTCAGAAAATCAAATAGCAGTGGCAGACTCTAAATTCTTCGATGTTGTTTAAGAAATGTTCCCTTTAAGAAAAAATGTGGCAGTGTAATAAAAAGCTATTAAAGTTGCAGCAACTAAAAAGATGAGTGTGTTGCCTTCCTCTTCTGCTTCTAATCTACTATCAAGAGGAATGAAGGCGTAATTACAAAATAAGATTTTGATATTGGTTCTGTCATTGTTGGAGAATAGAGAAATTAGAGGAAAGAATTCAATAATAAAAAGAATTATGAGAGTATTGCCAATGAATGTATTAGAACGACATTTGAGTAAGATATATAAGAAATGGTTCAATAAATACACAGGCGATTATAATATGCAGGCATTTGAATTACTGAAGATTGATCCAATGGATTTAGATGAGGAAAGTTAGGAATTCAAAGATTGTGAAATTATCATTTAGAATGGTTTCTATATCATGTTCTTGATTTGTTATTACATGGAGAGTGATGAAGAGATCGATTCAGTCTTTATGGGATATAACAAATAATACTTGAAAAGTTAAATTTAATAAAATTCATTGTTTGATCCAAATTCTACATTGGGTTAATTATTTGCTTTGGGTATGGAAGTATATGAAATGTCCTTATTGAAAACGCAACAGATGTTTAATGAATTGAACAAGGCCAGAAAGGATGATCCAGAATTCATCTTAGAATAGTAGAAGCGCAAATAAGAGGAAAAGAAGAAGAGATTGAAGAAAGCATTTATGTTCTTCCGAGCTAGAACAGCTCATATAGAAGTAGTTAGAGATGACTAAATAGAATTAGTGTTCTTTCCATTATTACCATTCAGTAAATTAAATAAGGATGAGAAGCAGTCTTTTCAATAAACAGTTGATCGTTCTTCTGCTAAATCTAAGGTTCAGGATCTCATGGAAAAGAGTCCTGAATTAATCTAAATCATGAGACATGAGGAAGAGATGAACAGATTCTATAAGCAATATAAACTCATTGGATTCTTTGCCAATTACATACAATTGTGGAAGGACTTGGCCTTCTATTTGACTTTGATAATCAACACAATGATCATAGCTTCCTTTTCACATCAATCGGACCCAGACAGACCAAAAGAGGATGTGAGTAATGAGGCTTTGAATGAATATATTTTCTTTAGGAAAGATGAATGGACTTAAGCATAAACTAAAGAATTAATTAGTGCACTAGGATATGCAATGATGGTTTGTTCTTTATTTGTTGTGTTGTTTGTCCTAGCCAGAATAGCACCACTTATAATTAAAAAGGCACTGCAAAGAAAACCCTTAATAGAGGGACAAGGAATGATAAAGTTACTATTAAATTGGTTGGCTAAATTCTTTTTTGTGCTCTTTTATTGCTTACAAGATTTCCAATTAGTTTACTATTTAGGATATGGAGCATTGTCTGTAATTGGTACTTTAGTGCATCCCTTCTTCTTTTGTTTCCATCTTACAGTCATACTAATAAGATACCCTACGTTGAGTAATGTTGTTAGAGCAGTCACAATGCCTTGGTAACAATTAGTACTTACTCTATTGCTAATCATTATAATTACGTATATTTTTACACTCATTGCTTTTTATGCTTTGCAAGAACCCTTTGGATTGGATTGCAAGGAAGTAAGTATCTGCTTCTTATAAATATTTGATAAGAATTTCAAAACCCCTGGAGGAATAGGAGGTGATATTACAAATAATAATCCATCTCCTACTTATGAGATTTTTAGATACCTTTATGATCAAATTAATAATCTATTATTAGTTATTATTATGGTGAGTATTGCATCAGGTATTATTATTGATACCTTTGGATAATTAAGAGAAGATGAAAACAAGATGAATAGTGATATCAAAGATAAGTGTTTCATATGTGGTTAAGAGAAGTAATTATTCATTAATATTTAATTTAGTATCATATTTGAAAGAAGTTCTGATGGTTCCTCTGGTGGATTTAAGAATCATATAAGACAGAATCATTATATGTGGAATTACTTATATTGTATGATTTTATTTATTAACTCTTATTAGATATTGCTTATTTATAATGGAAGGATTCATAAGACTATTCAGGTATAGAATCGTATGTGGATAAAAAAATAAAGGATACAGATTTGAGTTGGATTCCTTTTGGAAGAGCAAGAGAATTAGACAAAGGAGAGGATGAATAAGAAAAGTAGATTAAATAGATGGAGCAATCCTCCAGTAATATAGCATCTTTGTTGACTCATACCAATGATATAATTTAAGCACTCAAAGAGAAGAAAGAAAAAAGAAAACAACATTTTACTCAGTAAAATCAAACAACACAATAAAAGGAGTAAATTGTATCCCAATCATCAATAGCTTTATTATGAATATCATTTTCTAACTCCATAAACTTATTGAATTGTTAATAAATTAGTCCTTATTTTTGGTTTCTTTCTCTTTATTTACTGATGGATAGTCGGTAATGGCAATTCTTTATTTAATTTGTCAGAATAATAATCACTCAAAGAAATAGATTTACTCCCCTTATTGGATTAACATTCATTTTTTGCGTTCTCTAAAGTTTTTTATTGTTCAGATTCTGATCTTATATTTGATGGCATTTTTTCAATCTTATTCATCAATCTATCAAACATTGGATATCTTTCAGTCTTATTGGATCTCCTACTAGATAGATTTTTAGGAGTCATCTAAGCTTGTTATTAAATTTATTAACTATTTATACTAGTAGTGTTATTCATTGTAATAGTGTCTTATTTCTCATCCTCAATTGTCATATTGATTTTAATTTCACTTTTTGCTGTCTAAGAATTCAATTCAATTAGTTATGCTTGAAACTAATCTGACGCAATATCAGCACATGTTTATCCTCCAGATTGTATTATCTAATCCAAAAATAAATAATAAGCAGTAGTTGCATCATTATGTTAATTTGAAATTAAACATTAATAGATATACTTTTTTGTATATCCCAATTATTCTACCTTATTTACAACATTATTATCTATAGGAATCTTATGTTATCCAATTAAAATTCCTTACTTAATTTAAAAACTAGTTTTGTATAAATTAAACCAAGGATGCTTCCTAATTTGATCAATATTTGGTCTATCCTCTGGATCTGGATTCAAAATCAACTTTAACACATCGACTGCATCACTGCTTAAGAAATTAGGAACCTTGTAATTGGCTGATAGAATTTTTTTATACAGCTAATTTGTATTTGCATCTTCAAAAGGCAAATAACCACACAACATCACAAATAATACAACTCCACTACTCCAGATATCAGCTTTCAATCCACTATATAGTTTTCCAGATATCATTTCAGGTGCTGCATAACAAGGTGATCCACAAGCTGTCTTCAAAAGATCATCATACGTATTCGAGAGACCAAAATCAACAATTTTAATTCGACCTTTAATTAAGAGATTCTCCGGTTTTATGTCTCTATGCACTATTTTCAATTTGTGTATATATTCTATCCCAGATAATAGTTATTAAAACAAAGCACAAGCATTTACTTCTGGTATTTTCTTATTTTTAACAATGTAACTAAATAGTTCTTTTTGGCAATATTCCATCACGATGAAAATATACTTAGTTGTCTCAAACACTTCATATAACATAATAATATTTGGATGTCTAACAATTTTTAAAATGTGTAATTCGCGTTATACTCTCTCTATATCAACAATATCAACCATTCTCGATTTATTCATAATCTTAATGGCCACAGTTTGTTAAGTAGGGATGTGAACTGCCAATTTCACCTTTCCAAAAGTTCCAGAACCAATGGTTTTTCCCAATTGATAGTTGCCAATACATTTCATAATATAATTTATAATAATCACATTATAGTACAACAGTCAGGCTAACCAACCCTCAAATAACTATGCTCTTTCTATATTCTAAATACTTAAGAAAATTCAGTTTGGAATTCAAATTTACTCACCTCATTTAATATAATTCCCCTTTGTTTTAATTATATATATCGAGTTCAATTATAGACAATACAAATCTAAAAAAATCAAGTTATAAATAAGTTTTAAATGAGAAATTAGAAGTTGGTTAAAAATAAAGAGAAACATAGTTTATAGTATTTCAGATTTTATGAAATTAATTACTAATTCCTTTTTCTCAATCACCCTGTTTCTTATAAGTTTAAATAATTAAGTTTGTATGTCATTCATTGAATTATTGGATCTTTGGTTATCTTATTGCTTATAATTATTAGCGAGTTTTTACAATCTAATTTTTAACTTAAATCATTTTATTTTTAACCTTCAGATTATGAATTCAATTGAAGAGTATTTTTCTTATTAGTTGATTAATAAAATGCTTTTATTGTGAAATTTAGTAAACTAAGTATTTTTCTTTTTAGAAATGGCTCATTTAGAATGCTTCACAACTTTAGAGTCAATATTTTAATCACAAATTTGGTCCAATTTACAATCAATATTTTGAGAATCAAATTTTAAACTTCTTGCCTTTCGAATGTAATCTACAGTTTGGAGGAAATTAATTAAAGTTAAAATAAGATGCTGTTTTGGTATTAACATAATTTGACTGAAAAACAATTCTATTAACATACAGAAAAGCGAGAATTTCTTGTATTAAGAGAACATGGAGTATGGTCGAATAGAAAATCGAAAAAATGAAATTTAATACCCTTGGATACTATGGTATATACAAGGAGAAAAAAATAAAATAATTATTACTTTAGTCAACAGAAATTTGATAATTAAACATTAATTTATTTGAAATGAATTGTTGATTAATGTTAATTTAAAGTAATGATGATTTTATTTTTCTACAACGAATAAAAGTAACTTGAATAAAAATAAAAACGATTATTATATAAATAATGAAATATTTTCTAACGAGGGAAAAAGTATCAATGAGAATTTATAAATAAAAGATAATAACAAAATATTAATGTTTTCCTATGATAAATTCACTATTATTAATTTGAAATATCCAATATATTTTTTAGAAGCTGTTCTTGTTGAGTCTTATTATTTTTTCTTTCATCGTTAAATTTATTTTGGTGATTTCTCAATTTATCAGTTAGTTCTTTAAACCTTAACTTGTATTCTGACAGAAATTTCTCTAATTAATTCAACTCAGATTGGACATCGCTAATACCACTAATTGTAGAATCATATTTTTCAAATTGTTATGTTTTTTCGAGTATAGACAAAGTTGAATTAATACTTTTGGATTGAGCCAAATTCAACAATTGAGTACTAACTTTTTCCATACTCTCATTAAGCTATTGAACATTTTGAGTGAGAATTTATTAAAACATTGCCTCGGTATGAAAGAATTAATCATTAAAGATCCGTTAATGACTCTTAATCGCGTCTGCTATTTTTTGAGATAATGTGGTGACTAAATGTTGTTGTTTTTGACCTGAAGTCTGAGTTGTCGATTTTATAATTTTGTTTTGATTTAATCTTTAGATATGGTAACTTAAAATAACATCTTTGTATTATTATTTTGAGAGGCTATTATCTATTTATCAAATTGAACATTTACTTTCTAAAAAATCAATAACCTCACCCATTGACATATCATATTTCCAATCGATTGACATTAAATTATTATATTAATATATATTAAACATGAATTTATTTTATGAAATGAATGGATAAAGATTTCCTTTTAGTTTTTTTTCCCAAACCTCATTTATATTAAATTAATGTTAGAAGGTCCGAAATTTTAGTAAATAATAATTATTTTTCATGTAGTACTAACGTATAATGAAAAATGAATTAATTTTAAGAATCTGCTATTCAAATATGAGGTTTTTAAGAACATAGTTTATTCAATTTATCCCTAGGCCAATTCATTAAATAGTGTATTAATCTAATAACAAATCGTATAACTAAATTACAAAGTCTGTTTTTAAGGTTCTATTTTACTTTATTCCAATATTTTTTTAAGTATTTGGTTTTTCAAGAATATGATGGCAAGAATAGATGATCTACAGATTCATTAATATTTATTGTTTTAGGCTTTATAAATACTACAGTTATAAAATAATAAAACTATCGATAAAAAGTTAACCTTAAATTTAATAGGTATTAAAACTCGAATTTTAAACCAAAGTTTAATATAACTTGTTAAATTCAATTTAAAAAACCTCATTCCCCAAAAACAATCAAAGTTACAGTAACTCAAATAAACACTAATGGATTCCAAAATTTAAATAAACATATAAATATTAATCCAGCAATATGATAATATCACATTTTGGTTATTTATAATTTATTAATATTATATCAATTATCATCTTTTTTACGATCTCTAGAATATTTTACGATCATACTCTATGTTTTTTGTTTTCTCTTCAAATTTCTTTATTTAAATTATTCAGGTGTTCTTTTAAAATATCTGTAGCCTCTTTATTCTTCCCATAGGTGTATTTAATGTTTAAGGATTCGAATAATCTTAAGTAATAATTGTCCTTTGAAGGCCAAATATACGATAATTTTGTTCCAACTGATTTAAAGCAATAGCAATTCTCATATAATGAGTAAAGCATTTTAATCAGCCTTTTCTTATCTGGCAACCTATCTTATTCAAATCCTAATTTTATTTTCTTTAGGTGCAATAATTTTATAATTCAATCTATAACTTAATTTTCATCAAGTTTTTCAATAACTAACCTAATTTACTTACTCTAACTTAATTCTGAAACATCTATCCAAAGTAACTATATAAAGTAATTGTTGAATATTGGTCTGATAAATTGAATCGCTTAAGTACTAAAGCAGTGTACATAGAATCATCTGAGCCCACTATTTGATTAGCCTTAGCTACAGAGACAAAGATGGATTCTAATATAATATGATATATTTATGTGTTCCCAAATCATGAATTTGTTTTTGAAGTCAAAAGATGAGAAATAAGTTGTGAAAATTTTACATATTAATCAATTATTTGAATCATAAAAAATAAATTGTGAATTCAAAATTTAAAATTGATAATATATTATTATTTTTGACCCTCCATTTTTGTATTTTACCGTCCATATATTTTTTTATGGATTGATCTAGTCTAGGCAAATCCTTTTTACCTCTTCATTTTTGAGTATATAATATACTACAGAAGAGCAATTTCCTTATTCAATTCGATTAGCTAAATAAAATTTTTAATATAGGCCAATAATATAAAGCTCATATATATTTTTGATATAATATTAAAATATATGTATGAATTGTATATATATTTCAGTATTCTTCAATTTTTTTAATAAGGAAACTTTTATTAATTATTTGATTTTTCTTTATTATAGAAATTCTTATTTTATTAATGAGGGTTGAATGGGTACTTTCCAGTGTTTTCAACTTTATTTTATTGCTTACCAACAAATGAAGTTTGATTTGAGTCTTTATTTTATTTCCAATCAGTTTTTATGATAAATTAACAACCTGGAAATAAACAAAAAAAGGAGGCTTAATGAACTTAGTTATAATTTTCATTAAATTAAAGTGAAAACAAAGGTGATCCACATTTGGTACATTTTTTATCAATCAATTTAATTGATTTAACAGTATCTGGCAGAAAAATGGCTTAGTTGCATTATGGATAGGAGGAGCATCCCAAAAAATTAGTTTTTTTAATCTTTGAATATCTAATTTTCATGAAATTTTAGCATAAATTACATTAAAAACAGTTATCTTTGTTTTGTGTAGATTGATGATGGCCATTTTAGTTAATATCTTCTTAGATTTGACAGAGCTTGGGACAAATCTAGATTAATTTTCCATTTAATTATTTATTAGTAACACATAAGGAATTACAAAATTAACAAATTGAAGGAGGTAATATTGAATTTTTTGGTAATTCATCTGATTTCTTATTTCTTTAATTCCTAGTTTTTTTATTTGCTTTTGGCTAATTCTAGGTGGTTTCTTCTCCTTCATCTAATGGTATTCTTGGTTGATTATTATTATCATCATTATCATTGTCTTCATCATAATTTTTTAGAGCCTCCAAATATGATCCAAATGTCTTTATGATTAAATTTTACTTCTCTTAAAGTTATTTTAAAATAATAGTCATTTCATTTATAGTTGCTTGAACTATCTAAGATTTCTCTTTCTTCCCTAGGGCAACTTCATTCATCCTTTGTTCCATTACTGCTCTTAGAAATGGTTAATGCAAAGTAAAGCCCAAAATTTCATAGGATTCAACGAGAGCAAGTCCAATTTTGGTAGGTTTAATGATTTAACCTCTCTTGGTTGCATACTCTCTATCTTAAATAGTATTGATATGTTCATGAATTGTAGCATCAGTTCCTATGCCATTTTTATCCATCAAGCCTATGAGTTCAGCTTCAGTCATAGGTTTAGGAGGAGAGGTTGATCCTTTTTAAAGTGTTAATTTGATTTTGATAGAATCTCCTTATTGATAATTTGGAACCTAAGATTGAGACCATTCTTCATAGATGTATATTTCTAAATAATTCTTTTCTTTAATAACCAGTCCTGATTTAGAGAAGGTCTCATCGTTAATTTATAAAGTAATAGTAGTTTCAGATCCTTTGGCATTTTTGGAGCAACAGGCTAAGAAATGCCTGGTAATAAGTTGATAAACATCCCATTCCTATTTATTTTGTGCTTCATTTTCAATCATCATTTTAACTGGATGTATTGGAGGATGTGCTTTATCATCTTTATTTCCTGCTTTAGGATATTCAAAAGCGAAGTTGAGTAGATTGGTTGCATATTCTCCCCACACTGGATGATTCTATTGATCTCTGATGATAGTTTATAGATTGATAGTAGGTGGGAATTTGTTGGTTTCTGTTCTTGGATAACTGATGTATCCTTTATTATATAATCTCTCTGCTAATTCCATTGCCTTGTGTGCTGAGATCCTTAATTTCTTAGATGCCAACTTTTCGAATTCTATGGTACACAAGGGATAGGGTTTCCATTTTTGAACATCCTTTTATTACACATTAATCACTGTAGCACTTTCTTAATAACATCTCTCAAACAACAAGGCAACAATAAATTCATCAAATAAATGCGTACGATCCCAGTTATATATGCATTTCTAATCATCTTCACTTTAGATGAACCAAAACTACTCTTTGACAAATGAGTCGATCTCTTTCTGTCTTTGAACTACGAAACCAAGAGTGGGTATTTGACATGGACCATAACTTACTATAGATGATAGATTAAATTGTTTTTAGAGTAATAAAGTTTGAAATCTAGTGAAGGATGCACCAATCCTGAGATCTATCTCTTATCTGGCTATGACTGAATTCGATAAGTTTTGATCTGGATATTTCAATGTATCTAAGGCCTAAAATTATTATTTAATATTATTAAATTTACTCTTCGAACATCAACATAAGTGACGGCTGAAAAATGAGCTCGATTCACTTGAATATTGGGATTAGCTTCTCGACATACTTCCATCACTTCAAATGCTATATTTTCACCTTCTCTATCACAATCCAACCAAAGGATTAAGCGATTACAGATCGAAGCAAAGTTTTTTAGATTCAATTCTAAGTTTTCTAATTGCTATGTGATACTTACTTACACTTATCTGTTGATATATTGTTTTCTATTTCAGCTTCCTTTAAAATTATGATTGGATCCCACTTCTCCCAACTCTGGTATTTTTGGGGATACTTCAAACTCTTCAAGTGCCCAGTAACAGACGTGATCCACATCTCCACTTCCACATCTTTTAATCTATAATCCAACTTGAATAGCTTGTTAAATGGGGATTTGGTTTCTTCAATACGATGATCTTTACTAAGCACATTTGCAATGGATCTAGCCACAGATGGTTTCTCTGCTACATTCAGAACCTTAATTTTATCACTCTATACAAAATTAGTTGAACTAAATTACTTTGGTGCTTGTTTTAAAATTATTCATTTATTTAATGATTGACTAAGAGTTTCCACCAACCATAGAGAATGTAGGCAAGAAGAAAAGCTTAGCTTGGAAGGCATTTAATGATTTTCCACTCTTTGTTGAACAAAGTTCTTAATTTCCAAAACAAGGGAAATTAGGCAATTGTTATTGGATTGCACCATTGGTTGCCGTCTATGCTGCAAAGTACTCTGGAGATAATATACTAGGCCATAACAAATTAAATCACTTTTCCAATCACATGATAGCGATTTTACAACCGTAAGATTCTGCATTGATGGAGATTGGCAACAAATTACAGTGGATCATCACTTTCCTTACAATGAGGAGAAACAGAAAGTGGCTTATAGTAAATTGGTTGATGGTGCTCTATGGGCAATGATCTTAGAAAAGGCCTGGGCCAAACTCTATGGGTCTTATTAGTAGATAAGTGCTGGGTTCAACAGGTATCATTACTAAAATATCTTAATTTTAGAACTACCTTTAAAGTGTTGACTGGAGCACCAACGAATAAGTTTCGAACCAGGGATCCTAATTTTAAAGAGATTATTAATGAAATTGGAGCATTGCATTTTCCAGTTGGTGCAAACAGTAAAAAATAATAGATAGATAATGTTTTCGCAACAAATCATGCTTACTCAATACTCAAGATTGATGACGATTAAATCATTGTTAGAAATCCTTGGGGATTAAAGAACAGAGATTAACATACACTGACTTTTGAGGAATTTAAATAAAGATTTGCTAGTATTGAGTGTTGTTATCATTTTGATGGATATCAATATCAGAGTGAGAAAGTCACTTCAGATGTTCTAGAACCTGTTTATTTTGAGATAGAAATTAAGGCTCCAGGAAACTATTTTTTTACAGTAAACTAAAAAAATAAACGATGGTTTCGTAATAAACCACATTTGAAATATGTTATTTCACCTTGTTAAATTTAAATGATATATGGAGATACAATTCTGAATTAGTAGCACCATCAATCTAATAAAGAAGTATGGATCAATTGGAATTTTAATAGGCCATGCAAGATCTACATCATCTGTCAAATTGAATGGCAAAATATAGCTGTCAATGAATTCATCTTCAATACCTATGGTCCAGACTTCAATCAGAAAAGAGTTCATGAAATCATTCAAAGTAATGAAGATATCAACAACTTGGGATAAATACAATTTTTATAAAGAGACTCAGAGAAAGAGTAGGAAGAGGAAGAAAAGTAAAATTAAAATCAACAAGTGGAAATTCAATAAATAGAAAATGCATAAGTAATTTCACCTCCACCCCAATAGAAAGAGCGTAAAAGTTGTGGATAATGTACAATTTATTGATAAATATAATTTTATTATTAAAATGTCAGTTATGAGTTAGAATAATGATGCCTCCATGAAATAGAGAGACAATAATCGTCAATAAATCACATCTCTAAGTAAGCATTTGCCTTCATACTCTAGATCAATTATCAAATATGTATGGCAAGTCTAAGCCTGGTGAATTGGCACAATCACTTGTTTATGGTGATAAACCCAAAAAGGAAAACAACCGTCCTTCTAAATAAATGTAAACCACTGTTTCTGAAAAACCTAACCAATGGCAAACCAGAACAGTAGCTGTGTCTCCTTCCAAATTCACAGTTCTCGCCTAATAACTTTATAATCACATTCCAGACACACTAGAAGCCTAGAAATCTCAAAGAGCCTTCCATGTGAAGGATTAGAAATTGTTGTTGTCTCCTGAAAGATTACATTCCCTACCCAATCAAAATGGAGACAAGACTCCTGAAGTCTGCAATAGACTCCTTGAATATAAAACCTTTGTAAGTGACAAGAAACAAACACTCAAAGACCAATTGGATGCCGAGTACTTGAGTCAATGCAGCTTTCAACCTTAAATAGATGAGAAAAGTAGAAGAATGGCCATAAAAGCTACAAATCAAGAGGTTCGATCTGCAGATGAATTTCATGAATAATAAATGAGACATCTCCAAAAAGTCAATGAAAAGAGAGAAATACTCTAAAAACAATAAGAGGAAGATGAAAAAGCAGAGTTGTCTAGTCCAAAATTAACTGTTAAAACTTAGAAATTAACATTGAAATATTGTGAGTAGCCTCTTGTTGAAAGATTACATGAAGTCAAGTCTAAAACCTAAACATTACCAGATTCCACTTTAGGTCTCTCATTCAAACCCTAGATATCCAAGAAATCCAAGGAAATCAAAAGAGAAGAATCAGTCTAAGATTTCTTATATAATGATGCTAAAAATAGGTTAGAATAAAAGAAACAAACTGAAACTATGATTCCATAATCAGTAATATCACCTACTGACAAGAGTCAATCTTGGTTTGTACAGAGATTCATTAAGGAATTCTATTATTAATTGAGTGGCTTGGATAGAGTTCAAGAAACAAAGGATTATTCTGAGATATATTAGGATGACTTTTAAAAAATATTAGAAGGACTAGGTTGCGGATAATGTGATATGTTATGGAATGAATTGAATAATGGATTTTATGTATTATCAAGAAACCTACTGGTTATCTTACTAGCCATCCAAGCAGTACCATAACACTTAATAGAAATACCATTGTATAAACCTAAGGTGGAAGAAAACATTTAAGTTAAGTCTAAATATTAATGTGATGAGAATGGAAATCTGATATTGAGTGTTGGTGATTGTTAAGAATTACACAAGATGTTCTACAAATTATATTTGAATACTAAACAACAGAATGGAAATGGAGTTAGAAGAAGAATGGCTCGTTCTCCATAGCCTGACATCAGATGTGGATCACCCAAGATATCAGATAGAACTAAACAATTGGCTGAAGCTAAGAGATAAGATTCATCATTGTTTGAATGGTTTACTCAATAAGAGGAGAAGAAGAAGTAGGGTTTAGAAGAGTTAAAGAAACAAGTAGATGATGAAAGAATGAAAGAGTGTAAATCCATCTAGAGAGAAATTACTATAGATTTACATCAATTAGCTAAGCCTCTCTAAAAGTAGGAGGATAGAACAACTGTGGATGTGGAATTCGATAATCAATAATAGCATTGCACATTCCAACCATAGATTAGTAAACCAGCCTCAAAGACCTAAGCTAGTAATTATGCTTCTCAAGAGATGGAAAAATAGGCAGCCAGAATGAAGGAAGCTAGATTGAGATAGAAGACTCTTGCCAATTTAAAGAACAAGGGAACTACTACTAATAATACTATTAGAAGAAAGGAGAAGTGTCTCACTGAAAATGTACTCAACAATGAACCAAAATAAAAGAAGAATAAGAGTAGACCAATTAGTGACAAGACCACTCCCATGTTGTATGTAGATGTTAAGATTGAGGATGGCAAAAGTGCTAGAATTGTAGTGTTCGAAGGGGATACTTCAGTCAGTTTGGCTAATAAGTTTGCTAAAGAACACAGTAATAATATTTATTAAACATTAATTAGAATTGGATGAGAATATGAAGGAGAAACTTAAGGACTTGTTGGATTAATAGATTAATTCCTATTTGATGAAGATTGAAGAAGAGTAAGAGCAGGAAGATGACTGATCTATATATATATATACTAAACATATAAATAATATATTTTAAAATGTATGTCAAATTTTTGACACAGTGACAAGTTCACAATTAAATAACATCGGAATTAAATATTTTTAAAGCAATGTTTAATGAAGAATTAGGTGTCATTGATTATGAAGTGGAAAGCGATGAATCAATTTAATTGATATAAAATCCATAGGATATTGTCATTCCAACTCCAATATAAGAATAAAAATAATAAACCTAATAATAAATAGTGCAATAACCATAACCATAAGCAGAATAATCGAACTAAGAAAACACAGAAGATATTGAAAGGTAATAACTAGAAGAAGAATAAATGTTGCGTAGACCTTATGCATTAAGATGGAAAAAGAAATCAATTAAGAAATTAGAAAAAATCACTTCTAAAATGACTGATTAAGATTTAGATGAGATTAAGGATGTCTTAATCAAAAAGGTAGCAATCTCTGATAGTAAAATCATGAATAATAATAATAACAATAATAATAATAATAATAATGATGTGATCATTTCTGGTTCAATTCTAAAGAATCCATAAACAACACTCAATCAAGTGCAGAAATAAAAATAATTTTAAGTCCTTGTAGAACATTTTGCAAATAAACCTGACTTTCTAGAAGCTATTATTGCTCAAGATTTAGAATAAGAAAATGCAAATTAAGATGGAGGCATTCTTAAAAAACCAATGATTGTACCTCCAAAGGCAGGACTTAAGAAATAACAAGGTAAAAAAAGAGCAAATGTCACCTTTGAAGATCAATCACAACCACAAAATGGAGGAATTCAATTTATTAAAACTAGTGTTCTACCGTAAAGGTAACCTCCTCCTCCACCATAACCTCAATAATAAATTCAAAATATACTTTCGAAATTCTAAGAAATTAGAGAAAAATCAGTTGCCCCAACTTAATCCTAATAAACAACTGCAATCTAAGAAGTTTCTGATGTGCCTTTAGGAACAGGAGCATGGTATCCAAATAAATAAGATAGAAAGAGTCAACCTTTTATACCACCTCATGCTGGATCAAATCCAAAATTGCTACCGACAGTTAGTTCAGTTTAAATGATCTCTACGTCTTAAGCTGCTTAATAGTCTATAAATCATAAATTTCTAGGAATGAATCAAAATCAATCCAGATTTAGCAATAGTCCTCCCAGAGTAAGAGATATGATAACATAATAATATACATCCTCATATTAAGTTGATAGACCTCCCATCATGCCAAGCAGACAATAACCTATATTTTAATAGTAGATATTGGAAAAGAACATCACTTATGAACTAAATCAAGTAAAAAAAAATAAGGAACAGTTGAGTAGTCATTAACAATCTTAATTGAGGGAGTCCTAAATTAAACTATAAGCTAAGTTACAAGAAAGTGTTAAGAGATAAAGTGTTGCTTAGCCAACAATAGAGGAGAATGATTCTGATTTTTTGGATGAAGTCATGGATAGTCAGGCATTCATCGATTTTAAGAAGGCTGGCAATTTAATTTGTGGAACTTAGCAATCCATACAATAGTAACATTGGCAAGAAATTAATTTTAATACAGACATTCCTAAGGATTATTATATGAATGAAAAGTTTAGAGTTGATGTGGGAGAAGACATTGAAATCTGTGATCCCTATGAATTATTTAAATTGTATTTTGATTAAAGCATCTTCAAGTACATCTGTCAAATATCAAACAAACGCTAATGCATTAGAATTGATGAAGATATTTTGGAGTCATTTATCACAGCACTAATCTACATTTTCTACATCTAATTGTTGGGTATGAGAGAAATCAAAAGAGTTAGATTTGATCACATAATAGATTATGTGACATTTGGTCATATTTGTAAGGAAATCCGGATTGATGAATTAGAAGATTATTCCTTCATTTTTGAAAAGATAAGTAAGAATTTCAAAAACAATTACCAACCGGAGGAATTCTTAACTCTCGACTCACCTATCTTTTATCAAAATCATAGTGTGGAAGGTCTTATCTCACTTTCTGATGGAATGAAAGGGTATGTGTTAGACTTCATCTATGGAATCAAAGATTAAAAGATCCTTTAAAGCTTATAAAAATATTAAGGCAAACATCATAAATTGTATTTAGGCCCTGATGTTTCATCTTTGAATCTGATATCTCAATTGAAAAAGAAATAGTTTGGTTCATTGGCAAAGTTAGTAGACAAACAGGTATTTACTTAAATATATTTAGACCCAATTGACTTAAGAGTAGATCTAAGAAGTGAAATAAAATGCTTAAAAAGGTAAAAGCACTCAATTCTTATCATCTGACAACCAGACGATTATGCTTATTTATGCAGAAAGACAATAGCATATATAATAAGTTGAGGGATTCGTATCTTCATTCGCTGATTTCACAAGACTCAAACCTTAGGATACTAAGATTAAGAGTGATGTCAACAAACCCATCATCCTCTATCTTTATGATAAAATAAAGACTTAATATGATAAACGAGGAAAGACTTATCAATATTCACAAATACCTCATTAAGATGCAAATCAGCATTTGGAAATTCTTGTTCAATTAGTCTATTCTAGCATTTATAATGCTAACATTTTAAATAAAACTAAAAATTAATAAACTACATTAGCACCAGAAAAAGCAAAATAAATGTATCTTGAATTTGTGAGATAATTACTACACTCTCTCTATGTTCGAAGTTTCAAACGTAGAGGTATTAACCAATTTCCATAGAATCACACTCTGGAATCTGGAGACACTGGAACATTTAGTTGTATAGAATGTGGAGAATCTAGTTAAACTATTTGTAGAGAATGCTCAAATCATTTCTAAATGTTGATTCCTGTCTGCAGAAGTAAGAATGAACAATGCTTGAAATCGCATATAGAAATGTTAGTAAATCAGCCAAAAATTACAAATCCAAATAGAAAACTTACAAATAAACAAGCTATAGTCAAATTTGAATTCTATCGTTCTCAAATTGAAGCATCAAGGGATGCTAATGCCAAATCGGCTTTGCCAGTTATTGATGATACTCTACAATAATTGGACAGTTTAGATCCTGATGAAGAGTTATCAATAGGAATCCAAACTTTATTGGTTTCTTTGTCAGATTTGATACAAAAAATGTTCCAATAACCTAACATATTAGTTCCATAATAGAAAACTCAACAAAACAGATAGGAGATTTATTCTTTGAGTCAAGTAGATCCACCGATTAAATCAGCACAACAACTATCGAAATCCATTTCTTAGGTTTATAACTATTAATAGGAAGCTGTTCAAAGTTCTTAGGTTGTGCCTCAATTAATAAAAACTAAAATTGGAGAATAAAAGAGCATTGAACCTGCAATCCAGAAATTGTAAGCTAGAGTGGCCAAGATCAATAAATGATATATATATAATAATAATATTTTTATTAAATTATCAGCATTTATTAAGTAACTTAGAAGTGTTAAACAAATTATTCAATATTGTTATAGGATTAAACATTGAGAATCTAATATTTTAAATATTACTAAAACCTGAAAGACATTTCTTACTAGCAGTTTATAATATTAATAGATATTTTAGATATGATGTCGTCACTTCTCTATAATCATCTAGTAATTTTAACATATCAGTTTAATGGGATAATGGAGAATATATATTGTATGGTTTTTTATGCTTATGTAACAGTATTTTTATAAATATAGGTTATAATTATTATATGCTAAATAAAGCATTAACTTATTGTCTTTAGGATGATGATCCAATCAGAATTTCTGAATTAATTGGAGTTCGAGAATATCAAAAATAACCAAAACTAATTCAGAGCACCTTTGTGACCTCTTCGGATTTGAAATAGATGATACATAACCAAAAGAGAGAGAACAGTATTCAATCATATCGAAAAATTTAACATTTTGATGCTGACTTAAAACCAATCAATAGAACATTCGATTTTAGATTGCCATTGAACCAAAATCCTTGCCGAAAATATGTGAATGTGAAATATGTTCCAGAACCTACGAAACTTAATCAACCAAAACTTTACTTTGGAATCAAGCATTAATAATTTAAAGTAAAAATATACTTATTATGAAATTTAGATAAAAATCAAAATGCAAGGTAAACGATTGGAGGACATGTTCTGAATATAAAACTTTGACTAATTAATTTATTAATTTTTTATTTGCTCATGAATTTTAACAGATAGGAATTACTTAATTTGTAAAATAGAATATTTAATCGTCCCAGGAGGTTGAATTCTGTTTATGTAGCACCAACCTTGGATGATATTGGAATCTTAGCAGAATTGCCAAACAATAAAGTCTCAAATTTAGGATTCAAGTAATAAAGTGCATTAAGAACTTAACTCAAAAAATATCGAAATTTATTTCTATATGACAAGAAGCTCTTTAGAAACAGAAGAGAATCCAGAGATTTCAAAGAAAATGCAGAAAATAAGGGATCAATTCACCATATCAATAGTTCTAAGCAATCCTCATTGCCACTTTGGGAAGATGATATGAAAATCACCAAATTGAGCATTATGAAATCTGAAATATTGCGAAGCAAAATTCCAGACATCCCAAAACATATTAATAATTCCCAATCCAATTGTCCTAGGAGATTATCTCACATCAACCCAGAACCAATCTAATTCAAAAACTTAGTAGTGTTACCCTCTATTAGAGGCTGGGATAACAACAACCAAAACTCTTAGAGATCAAACTGAACTATTACTATTTATTATTAAATTTATGTAAAATAATATCACATTATCTGTGGACTATAAAATCCCTATTCCTATTTAGCATGACAAATAGCGTTTACTAATCACCTTATTGACAAATGAAGAGATCATAGTCCAAGTTTATTAGTCAATTGATGAAGAACGAGCAAAATTCAATTCCTAATTTACTATAATCAATCTAAAATTAAATCAAACTAATTAATATCAGTATCTCTCTCTTATATTAGATTGATAGATTTAAAGATGAAGTCTTTCAAATTAATATTATTGATGAACAATACCTATCCTTTTTAGCATATGAAAAAGATAATTTAATGTTCCTCAATTATAGAAATGGAGAATTTAGCAATAAATACAAAGGTTGCTTATATTAACTGCTTTTTCATCCGTAAGTGGATCTGTAAATTAAAGAATACAGAGATTTATATTTTAATCAAGCCCTTACATATTGTATCAACAGAAATTCTGTGATTGCTCTTGTATGTGATTTTCGAGTAACCAATAAGAAAGAAGTGTTAGTGACAATTTTGAAGAATAACTAAATTCTACAGATATATAGCTTTTTTAGAGAAAATGGAAGACTTGGTAAAATGATGCTTTTTTGTGTAATTAACCTATTAATTTTAGTTAGATTAAGACTTTATAATTGCTTAATCGATAGTAGAAGCATAATAACTGAATTTTATCATTTTGAATGAAGAGGGCTATAAAGAATATTCTGTAAAATTAACAATCAATGAAGATACAAGCATTGTAAAAATATTTTATAGGAAGGAAAATGTAATATATAATATTGGATATTTTATAGATTATATTTTTGTTGAATGAAAACAATTTTGGACACCCTTGGGTTGTAATTGTGGATTCACATACTCTCCTTTTGAAAAAGTGCATAGAATTAACATTAAAGATTGGTGAGAACTAATTTGCAGTGATCTTAGATGTAAAAATACATTAAGAGTCTTAGGCATTTTTATTGAATTGTCAATAATTATTTATATACTATGAAATGAACATTGCAGGAATGTACAATGAATAGTTTTTATAAGCGGTTGATTTTACAGACGACTTTTAGAAATTCATAATTAAAGATTATATTCAATATCCTGAAACATCAGTTGCTAATATAGTGGCATCTGATTGTGGGTTTGTGACTGTTCCCAGGGCTGTAGAAATTGGCACTATTTAAGATAATTATTTAGAATTTGATGTCTCGCCCATCTCCATCTAAAAAGGTGATACTATAGAACAAAAGATCAAAAAATTAAATTAGGAATCACAATTAGTTTATTATAATAAATTACCCAATGTTCTGTGTTATGCATACCATTTTATGGAAAAGAGAGGACTATTTACATATTAGAGTGATAATGATTTTTAATATATTGCAGGAGAGATTATAAAGAAAATGAAATCCAAAAAAACAAACAATTAAATTTAAATAGAATGATCTTAAAATTTGTGACAATGGAAAGAATGATAATAATTAATATAATTTATATTGTGGCTCAATAGTCTTCTTGTAAAAATCCAGCATCTCTTTTTGGGAATGAATTGCATGAATCAACATGAATTTCACTAAATTGAACATAAATATGTACAATCCATTTCTGCAATTCCATACATCGTGTAATTTTTCATCTTAAATGCACCAGTGTTTCTAGCAACATTATGTTTTATGTAATCCTGCACAAACATGACCATCCGATTTTTTGCATTCCTTATGACATGAGTCATTCTCAGCAGTTGATCTCACCCACTTCTTATCATTGCTTGTGATAGGAGGAGCCATTGTTGCTGATATTATACCAATCAATAGAAGAACCAATAATAATCTCATTTCCGTTTTTATATTAAATTATTAATTCAATTATTATTATATAAAAAAGAAATGAAATTCATTCAATGCTTTTTTCTGTCAATTTTCATTTTATATTAAATTTAATGTTTTAATAAATTTAATTATTAATTATATTATAAAATCATAATATTTTATAGATAACATTCTAGAATTGGAATAGTTGAAATATTGTACATCCCAATTGTATTCCTTCAGAATTCATTAGAATTTTACCATAGATAACTAAAATCAAAATGTACAAAAAGTAATTAAATTAAATATGCAATAAAAACAAATTGATTGGTTTAAACTTTCAGATCTAAATCACTTAATAAGTAATAAAGGTTATAGATTTGCCAAACATCATAATTTGATAACTTCATTAGAGAAATAAATTTCTTTTGAATCACCTGATGAATACGAAGAAAAAATGTTCCCTTTGTTTCAAAATGAAAATTATGGTGGTTTAGTAAAGGAAATGACATTTCATAAAAAGATTTTTTTAACATAGTCTTCTTATCCACTAAAATTTAGTGTTATGATTGATGAAGAGGAGCAACCTAATTTCCATACAGGTATAAGGCTGTAAGTAATGAAATAAGTAAAGGATGAGAAAAATAAGATCAATTCTTGGAAATATTAAAGGTATGGACAATATTTAACTTTTAAAAAATCCAAAACATTTATAGGTGGAACATTTATTAGGCAAAAAGATGGTTAAATGTATTAAACATTATGTCTATACATAAAGAAAGAAAAGCAAGAATTCATAATATTACCATTTACGAATGATGTTAGAAACAACTTTGAATACACATAGTTGAAAGGAAGGGATGGTATTATAAATCTAAAAAGAAAATAATTTATTGTCAATTTTATTCCATTAAGTTCTCCAAAAGTATATTTGAATGAAGCCAAAGCTATATTTAGACTTTATAGTTGCAGTTTTTATTAACTCATACTTAAACCATCAACAAAAAATAACTAATAAAAGTTGACTTAATTTGGAAAAAATGCAAAATAAATGTTTTAAAGGTCAAAGTAAAACATTAACTTTACAAGACATTTTGATAAATCGTAGTTAGAAGCTATTGAAAGTGCTATGAATTTCGAATAAAAAGTAACTTATAATTATTATAATAATAGTTTACATTAATTGAAGGTCCTCCAGGAACAGGAAAAACCTAAACCATTTTAGGTATCTTATCAATTTTCTAGAGTTTATTAAAAGAATCTAGGAATGAGGACTAAAAAGATGTAATTTTAATTTTAGGAAAATCCAACGGAATTGTAAATGATTTGGTTAGGAAAATTAATAAAAGTATAGAAACTCCAAATTCCATAATTTATTGCTCAGAGGAATAACCTTAATCTCTTAAGGTTCTTCGATTTGGAAGACCTGATTTATGTGAAAATGACATAGCTAGATATAGTGCAGAGATTCGTTCTTAACAAGAATTTTTTTCATAATTTAAGGATGAAGTTACGAAAATATTTGAAAAATATATCACAATCAACATAATTTAAGAATTGCAGAGTGAGTAAATTTAAGACTTTTCATCTTTTTTGATGGAAATAGATGAATCAAATAACAATCTTACAAATGGACCCCCTTAAATAAGTCTAGTTTAGCTCATGAAATATATCGAGTATCTAAATTTTAGAATAAAAAAAAGTGTATTAACATTGAAGGCTTTTGGACATGTTTTTAACGATTTGCATGAGTTGTTGAAATCAAAACAAAATAAATATTTAGAAATACAAGAAGGCATTTTCAAATATGTAAATAATAATTATTAATAATAGCGTCATATTATAGCATCTACATTAAATAGCTGTAACAATAATAAGTTGCAAAATGCATTATAGAATGTGAATTTGAGAATGTGCATAATTGATGAGGCTCCAACAGCATTAGAACCATCATAGTTGATCCCATTTATTGAATATAACAATATAGAAAAAATAGTCCTTGTTGGAGATACAAAATAATTGAATCCAATTGTTATAGCAAAGGAATCTGAAAATAATCATTTTAATCGTTCCTTATTTGAAAGAATGCTAAATTGCATTTAGTCTAAAAAATTGACAGAATAATATCGGTAAATGTCAAATCTAGCAGAAATTACATCTAAGATTTTTTATTCTAATTCTCTAAAAAAAAGTAAAATCTAAATGTAGATTCCTGCTTATATTGAAGCAAAAATAAGTCCAAATAAAAACAGTTTTTTTTTCAACACCCCTTATAATACAGAGGAACTTAAGGATTCTAGCTTTAGGAATGTCTTAGAGTGCGAGGCGATAATTTAATTAGTAAAATATATATTGAGTGATGAAATTAAATCGAAAACAAATAAAATAATTTCAATTATCAGTCCTTACTAAATGTAAAAAGAACTTTTGAGATTAAGATTAAAAGATTGGAATCTGCTTAATTATGTAGAAGTAGATACAGTAGATTCGTTTTAAGGGAAAGAGAATGAAATTGTTATACTATCTCTAGTACGTTCAAAAGATTCGATTGGATTTTTATATGATTAGAGAAGAGCAAACGTAGCATTATCAAGAGCTAAATACTGTTAATACGTTTTTGGAACTGAAAGCACATTTAATTAATAAGGGCATAAAAGTTTTTGGAGATAGATAATATAATTATATTAGAATTAATCTCGAATAATTGACTATGACGAGGAGAGTTTGAGGAATCCAAGTTTCTTCCAGTAGAAATTGAATGGATGATATTCTATTTTCAATTAAATTATAATATGAATATGATTCTGCTCGAATTCATTATTAAATAAAATATTTATAACACAAACATCAATTATTTAATGGGAACTTGCGGTGGTATTTGTGGATAGAGTAATCCTGAAAACACAATAGTGAAAATATAATAAGTTAATATGGGTGATATTGACAATTAAATTGATATGGGATTATAAATGGGTGATGAAGGTGTTCCAATTACACATTAATAAAGAGTTGAAGAAACAGTGAACTAACCAAACTCAAACAATGAAAATTAAGTCTATGAAACATAAAAGAGGCTTTCTTTCAAATTCGATGAAATTAAAACTTAAATATTATAGGAGTCAGTACTCGATAAATGTGAGCCTGTAACATTGGAATCTGGAGCCATTTATACAGGGTAATGGTAAAAAGAGTAAAGACACGGTTGGGGAAAACAGATTTGGCCAGATTAATCAGTTTATGAAGGAGAATGGGTAAATGATAAGGCTTGTGGAAAAGGGAAATTGATACATGCTGATGGAGATGTGTATGAAGGTGAATGGATTAATGATAAAGCCAATGGATTTGGTAGATATTATCGTAGTAATGGAGCAACATATGAAGGAGAGTGGAAGGATGACAAATAACATGGTTATGGAGAGGAACAATGGCCAGATGGTTCAAAATATAAGGGATAATATGAAGATGGAAAGAAACATGGTTAGGGTTTGTTATAATTTGTGGATGGATCATTTTATAATGGAGAATTCAATTAGAATGATATACATCGAAAAGGTAGTTTATTTTAGTGAATATAAGGTCGATATGTTTGGGCAGACAAAAGAGAATATGAAGGAGAATGGAATAACAATAAAATGCATGGCATAGGAGTAACAAAATGGCCTGATGGAAAAATATACGATGGAGAGTAATTAATTGGAGATAATTGTTTCTAGATATGTAGATGATAAAAAGGATGGTTTTGGTACATTCATTTGGCCAGATGGGAGAAAGTACGTTGGATAATGGGTGGATGGCAAACAACATGGGAGAGGAATCTTTACTAAAGTAAGTGGAGAAAGTCGTCAAGGCGAATGGGTTGATGGAAAAAGAATCCGATGGATGGAACTGGAGGAACAATAAACAAATTGAAATTCTCTCAAATACATTATAAACTTATTTGCATTAGACTTATATTTATACTAGAATTATAATAAGAAAAATATGTCTAAGGAAAATTAGAATCCATCAATTTAAGCTGAATAAATTGATATAATTAGAGAAAAACCTAGATTCAATTGTCAACCTGAATAGAATTACTAAAATGATCAGTATTTCTTATTTTTATTAAATAACTTCTCATTTAGAAATGAATTATAGAATATGAAAGCATGCAAGTAAGAACCTATTTTCTTTGAAGTTCCTAAAGTGGAATAGAAACTTAGTTTATTTGATATCATGGTAGTTAAATAGATAGAATCCAAACAATTAGGCAAATTGTATACTCTATATTTATGAGTTAGAATCCACGCATCTCATTAATTAGGAGGTGTATTTTTATTTATTGTAAATGCAATCAAACTACTTGGTTTAAATAAATTCACTACTGTTACATTCACTATAGCCATCTTGATCATTATATCGTAACAAATAAATATTTTACAATGAGTTCTCTGCTTTGGATTTTGAGTGTTGCCATAGGAACGATTGGTATCAAAAGACAAAAGTACAATTCCCTAATCTTTTATTTTTTGGGAATAACTGTATCATTTATCATTGAATTTTCAAGTACTATTGTTATTTTAGCGACAAATCATATTGCCGATCATTAATTAGGGATCTATAATAAAAATGTTGTAATAAGGTTAAAGTAACAAATATCTCATAGAATAATCATTTTCATGACACTTGAGTTTATGGTAGTTCTCTATTAGATCTTGATGCTTAGATCTGTGGGTCAAATCAGACAATTATTTATTGACATTGAAAGATTATAAACGGAGAATCAAAGTAATAATGATATCGAAGTCTAAAAAATGTTATGATAATTATTCCCATTCTTTTATTTTAGACCCAATTTTATCGATATTCATTCTATTTTCCTTATACATCATTTTTAATATTAATTTATAGTTTTAATTTATGGGTAAAAAAATTAAAAAGGGAAAGGAAGGACCAGTCAAAGAATATGTATCCAGAACCAAAGCTCTCAAAAAACTCTAAGTCAATCTCAAGGATTTCAGAAGACTTTGCATCTTAAAAGGAATTTACCCAAGAGAACCACCTTAGAAATTGAGAAAATAACACAAAACCTATTACCATAACAAGGATATTGCTTTCCTTAAAAATGAGTCTATACTTGATACTTTCAGACAAAGACAGGCTCATTTAAAAAAAATAAGAAAAGCATTAACTAGAGGTGACAAATTAAAGGCTGGAAGATTACGAAGAAATTAACCAAAAGACAAGTTGGATCACTTGGTCAAAGAAAGATATCCAACCTTTATAGATGCATTGAATGATCTTGATGATCCATTATGCTTAGTGAGTCTATTTGCTTCATTTCCTACACACAAGGAACTTCACATTCCTAACACATTAATAAGAGGCTGTTAAAAATTGCTCAGCCAATTCTTATTATATGTGTCAGCCAATAATTGCTTGAGAAAAGTAAGATTCTTCACCTTATACCTTAGGTTTTCCTCTCTATTAAGGGTATCTATTATCAAGCTGTAGTCTAAGGAGCCACTATTACTTGGATTATGCCATATCCCATTCAAGCTTCATTGCCATTAGATGTAGACTATAAAATAATGATGACATTCCTTGAATTCTATCAAGTTTTGATGAAGTTTGTCAACTTTAAACTTCTAGGATAAGATATTGAAATTACTGACTTCAGCGAAGAAGTTAAGAAGTTGAAATCAGTTTCATAAAACAATCAGTATTATTATTTGTTAACTTAAGGATTGAAATTGATGAAGCATTTAAAGAAGATCCAACAATCTAATAGATGGATTAATAATAATAAGAAACAAAAAAATATTCCGAATTATTCAAAGGCTTAACATTTTTCCTATATCCAGAAGTGCCTAAGACATCCTTAGAATTCGTAATATTGAGTTTTGGAGGAGAAGTGATGTGGGAGAACGATAACAAAAATTCACAATTGACTGATCCAAAGATTACTCATATAATTACAGAGAGACAAATTTAAAAGAATAAAAAGAGAGAATATATATAACCATAATGGGTCTATGATTCAATAAACTAATTAAAATTATTGAGTGTAGCTGATTATGCTCCAGAATCAGTAATATTTATTAATATTATTTTAGACTCTCCCTCCTCATTTAAGTCCATTTGAATAATTGAACTTAGAAGAAGTCCAATCAGAGAGTGAAGAAGAAGATGGATAATAGAAGGAACACAAGCCTTATTAGAATAATAAAAAACAAAAGGAAAAATAGGCTAAATAATAGGAGAAAGAGACCAAGAAGTTAGCTGAAACTATGTTGAGCAGAAAGAATAAGAGATTGTATGATATGATTAAGAGAAAAGAAGACGAAGAGAAATAAAAGAAAAATAAATTATAAGAAAAGAAGAAAATGATACAAAGTAAATAATAATGAATTATAAATATTTGATGTTTATAAAATTACAAATTTTAATTTTTATCTTTTTATCGATATTCATTTGATTCAATAGAACGCTACTATCAACATAGTTTTATCTAATATTTACATTATGTCCAATTTAAGAAGAGTTAATTAATAATTTAGTTATCTAATTTAAATCATAATAGCAAATTATTATTTTAGAAAAGTTACTTATATATAGAATGAATTTCATTTCGTTTCTGGCTTTCAATTTTATAAAAGTGAAGATAAATTCTTTTGTTACCGTAATTTAACTTATAATTATTTTTTAATTAAAATTATCATTAGGGAATGCCTATGTATTTATCAAAATAACAAATATATATTTTTCTAATTATTAATTTATCAGCAATATTGTTTAAAAAACATTTTTCATAAAGGATTAATCAAAAGAACACAATATTTTAGATAGGTGAACTTTCTAAGTTAAACTATGCACATCTATATAAATTGGATTCCAATTAAAGAATTATCATCAAACTAAATTAAAGATAATTTGAACTTAAACTTAGAAGAGTATACAGGAAGAAATGATGCTTATTAAAAAGAATTAGGGTCAATTATAAATTTAATTATTTAACCAACCTCATTTATAGAGCATAGCTAATTTCTCTTTAATTTTAAGCATATCCCAGAAATTATAAAGAGAGCATAGTTAATCATAAAAATTATGTCAATTCCTGCTTGAGTAACCATATTTATATGGACAGATCTTAAAGGATAGGAATTTCTTATTCATTTGATTAAAAATATAATTTATCTTATGGATAGAGAAATTTGATTTTAGAGCATCATGAGATTGTCTATAAGAAGAACCACTAGTTAATTTAAGCCAAACCTTCGCAATATCCCAGATCCTATATATTGCTCTACTTAATAATGAGTAACAAAGGAATAATGGATGCCAAGTATATTGTATGCTTTAAATAATATCATGATAATAATAGTGGAACTTATTCTTTTTAAGTTTATTATTTAGCTGATTATATTTGTTGAGTTCAGGAAATTTTATATAATTATTTTAAATATAAATGTTATCAGAGGATAATTGTCATCTTTTTGATTAGCATAGACAATCTATGAAAACTCACTTATTTGGACCTGAGAGAAGTTCAATCTAAGTAGTAGCTAAGTAATTGGAGGATGATTTAAAGAAAAAGTAGTCGGTTTCTTTTAAGGATGAAGATGATATCTTCATTGTTGAAAATTGGAAGGAATATAATGTGGACGTGAGTAGTTCAAATTTCCTTCAGAAATAAAAACAGAAATCTAATTCTTAATGTTTCAATATTTGCACTACTTTTTGATTTTATTTTATACTATAATAATTCATTTTTTAATTAGAATTTATTAGTGTTATTTATTAATTTATAGTTTAAATTTTTTTTGGAACAAAGAATTCTTAACATTAATTAATTTATACAAACAAGAAAAACAATAGTTAAAAATGCCAAACACTTCAATAAATGATATTGCTAACTAAAAAAAATCAGTTTAATTCAGCGAATAACCAACTGTTCACATTGTTGAAAATTGGAAGGAATTCAATTATACTCCTAAGGAGATTAAAAATAAAAATCGATAAATGAAAATTGAAAAGATAGTTATAAGAACCGATTTCGAAAATTATATGATGGAGAAATACAATAAAGTTAAATCTGCACTTAAAGAATTGGCTAATTCATGCTCATTTATATGAGAATTTTTGAGTTTTTATATGTGTAATGTTGTACTATTTTTATAATAATTTACAAAAATAATTCTTCAGTTCTGAAAACTTTTTGAATATTTTTATGAAGTGGCATTAAGTTATTGACAAGATTAGCGTGTCATAAAGTCTTATATAGCTTAACTGATAGATCCCGTCACTTTTGGAGGCACAAATAGCAAAGGCTCTTGTTGATGGTATATTTTAGTATTACTGTCCATAACATCAGAACATACCATTTTAAGGGGAGGGTTGTCATAAATGTATATTGAGGTATTTTTATGATGAGTGGTAGGATATTACAAGTCTGCCTTATTCTATTTAATACTACTGTTAATTAGTTAAATTTCTTTGATCAAATCTGGATTGTGGAATATTTTAGCCTAAGGTTTACTTTAATTGTTGACTATTGCTTATTGTCTACTGCAAAGCATCATGTATTACTAATTATAAACAAAATAGAAAATAGCATTTTTATTATTAAATTGTTTTGAAGGGTTGATATAAATTTAACAGTCTAATTTGTATTTTTGACTAAAATTAAAGATGGGAATGTATGTTCTTGAGTATATCAATTCTATTTAGAGTTCTCCATATACATTCTCTATAAATGCTTAGTCATAATGACTCAAAGTATTTGATGGAATTTCAACTAATTCTGAGTCAAACGATATTGGATTAAATTGAATATTATCTGAACTAAAATTCAATTAAATTGAGTGGGATTTCATCTGTGTTAGTATTGTTTTGCAACTTAAATAATTGAAGCTGATAACTTTATTTTACAGGAGTGGTAAGTCGAATATTCTAGGAGTTAATTAAGATATAGGCTTCATGATAGTAAAATAACCATCTTCAGAATAGGTGGCGATCATAAATTGTAACTAAATTTTTTTGTCCTCTTGATATGAATCCGAAATCATATAGGCAAAGGATAGTTTTAATTGTTTGATTTGTGATTTGATTAATGGTTTTATTGATTTGTATATGATATCAGTTGGTATATAGGAGCATATATACTTTAACTATGAATTAAGTATGGAGACTTCTTACTATAATTCAATGTTTGAAAAATGGGGTTAAGTGAATAACAGGTGGTTTTCTCTGATCTAAGTTTGGAATTGAGTAAAGAAATCATTGTCTAGTTATGCAAAAAATGCAGGGGAATCTGTCTTATTGAATTCATTGAATGATTGATTCTCAGGCATTTCTGAGAATTACATTTCTTATGATAGAATAGTGGAATAATACTTTCACAATCGCATATGATAAGTGGATATGAAAAGATTTTTAGTAATCGTAAAAATTAGTTCACTTTTTGTTTGCCATCAATTGTTAAATTCATAACTAAATAATATGAGTGAGTATGAAATATTATTATAAATTTAAAATGAATTATTTTATAGGAATATATATCAAATTAATACTTCAATCCCAGAATATAAAGGATATGCTCCAAAATTGTTGTATATAACTTTTAAGAGGAGAACTACTCGATTTGTATGTTATAGCATTTGCATTACTTATATCAAAGAATTGTATACTTCAATTAGTAATAGAATGATCTGTAGAATATTCAACTTATGTCTTTTTTGATGAAAAATATAGTTGGAAGTGATATGGGACAAGAGGAATTGCTAGACCAAATCTATTAAATTAAAATAATGTTGAGTAAATAAAAAGAAAAATGTTTAAGCTTTATTTATCTATTTATTTCAATAGCAAAATACTTTCAAAATTTTACTTAGTACTTTGGCTTTAACTGGTTGTGGTGGGTATCTCTCTCCATCTATACTCAATGGACAATTAGTAATAGGTTCAAATGTATATTCTTTTACTTTTTCATATTTCCAATTTCCTTTAGATTTTATATTTCCCTATTCATCGATTTCTACATGACTGCCATCGTATTATTTTATGGACAACTTGACTAATTGGGACCAATCTCCTGCCTCAAGATATTATACATCAATCATTCCATCATCAATCTTAGCTGCAGGTGCTGATAAATAATTATCACTTATGTAAGGTATCTTCTATGCTAAAAAATACCTAAAAATCATTTATTGATTATTGTATTTTGCCTCATATTTTTTTTAAAACATAGCTCTCCATGTTCCATATACATCAAATCTGGCTCCTCCCAAAAACCTAAGTGATTCAGATCCTAAATCAACTTCAGAAATAAAGGCATAGGCTAAGGATAAAAATGAGACCACCTTCTTCTGAGGCATTTCTAGTAAAATAAGATCCATTTGTCTGGTGATTCCTTTTGCTATTAGAAGAGCACAACTTTCCGAGTTGCATTCTAATTGTGATATTTTAGTTAAGGTTTTAGCAAATGCGTTTCCACTTCCACCTGGGAGAACCCCAATAGTAATAGATTGCGATATTTATTCCCAATCAGGTCTTTCATATAAAGCATTAATAGCCTCATGTGGTAGTCCATCTCCTGAGACAAGCACGACTCCATAAACATTTGATAGGTCTTCTTTCAATAAATAATCATGGCAATGATTTTGATATTATGTCATAATGACTTGGTATTTTACATTGAATTTATCAAGAATGGGCTTGGCTTTATTCCATTCTCTCAAAGCATGTCCTTTTCCACTTGCTGGATTAACAAAAACCAATAATTATTTTGGAATATCCATTTAATAAGTTTATAATTTAATAATAATCAATATTTCTCGACTAGTTTATCATTATGCCATATCCCAGATACTTAGTCATTTTTTTTATAAAGAGTTCCAATCCCATTTTTTTGATTCTTCTCAAAATTGCCAACAAAATAAGAGTCATTCTCATAATATTCAATCCCAGCTCCATTTTTCAATCCATTTACGAATTATCCTTGATAGGATAACTTGCCTTCTTAATAAAATTTTCCAAATCCATGATAAACATTATTTCGCCATTCTCCCTCATATTCAAGCTCATTTGTAAAGTATGAACCAATTCCTTCCTTCTAATTTCCATTCATTTAACCAACATAGCGATAGTTTTATCCTCGAATTGTAATAGGAGTGTCTGATCGAAGTCTTGACAAAGAGTGAGAAGAGGCATTGAGATTTTAAATTTTAGGCTGAATTAATCGATAATCAAATTCTCTAAGAGAAAATAGAATATATTAATACCTTTTTGGATGTCTTTAAGGTGATTGCTATGTTGTATTTCTATCAATATTTCGAGCTGGATAATTTCCCTAAGGAAGTGAACGGTCTTTTGGATATATCAAGATATCATACAATCAATATTGGCATTCAATGGATTAGCATTCATTGTTGATTTTAATAACCAAATAAAATTTATATGTATATATTTATGAAATCAATTTTATTAATGAGTTTACATACCTGCAATATCTTTAATTTTCTTCATAATTTGAGGATCAGTGTCATTATCCCATTGAGCCAATTAAATTCTCTCTTACATTTTATCAAGAGTATCCTGAGAATGATAATTTCAACATAATACTTTGAGCATTCTAGCAAATTCAGCTGACATCTCTTCAATTTTACGTTTCAATTCACTAATTTCATCATCCTTCTTCTTCAATCTGTATTCATAATCTTTAACCATGTCTTGAATATATTGTTCTTTGTTCTCTAAAGTTGATTGAGATGAATAATTTACTAATGATTTCTTCTTTTTCTACATCAGTGGACCTTAAATCAGTAATTTATTTGAGTAATTCTTCCTACATTTATTTATATTGTCTCGTCATATCCGATCTATAATACAAATAGACAATCCTCATACACAATGCAAAATAATTTGTCCTTCTCCTTCTTCAAATCATTTTCCATCTCCATGACTCTGGCTCTGATCTCATTTTCAGCTGCTTTGGCTTTATCACCTCTTTCTTGTTCCTCCACTTAAATTTAAATTAATGTTCCTACCAAAACGAGTCTAGAGAGCTCTACATTTATGTTCCAACACCATAACTTTTTCTTCTTCTTCTCTCTCTCCATCATCTCCTCCCTTTTTCTTACCTCCTTTCTTTGACATGTTAATATTATATATTAAATATATCTCATATAATTTTTATTATAACTGTTTCATGATCAATTGAGTAATACTCGCTTTACTGTTTATTATTCATTGTCAATCTAAATCTGCTTAAATCATATACTCCCTTCTCTGTAAAAACCCCTTCTAACGTCAACACTTTCATCTCCTATGGCTTCAAAGTAATTTGGTGTTGCAAAATGCCTTCCCACAAAAAGAATGGCTACTAGATGTCATTAATTGACCTTATTAATTAATTTATTGTACTTCAAAGGTTCATCCCCATTAAATAAGGTCACTGTAAAACTTATAGACTCTACATACTTTGTATTTTTGAAACTAATTTTTATGGGAACCATTGTAATCATGCCTTGGTGTTCTACTTCAAATGGAGCTATAATGGAAAATGACATAGGGAATTCTTTCACATCCCTATGTAAATAATTTTATTGCAAAACGGGCAATTCATGCAACCCATATACTATTTCATCTTCATATCTGTATGTCCATCTTGCTATGATGAATAGAGGGAATTCCTCCATTTTTTAATTCTACAATTTCTGATAGAAAACACTGAAGTAATGTTATATATCCAGATTTACAAAATCCAAAGCAACATCTGCAGGAATGTCTTAATCACCTAATATTATCTCATTGAAATTGTCACCCTCCCTATAGAATCTCTCCTTTAGTCTATTTTGATATTCCTCATATCGATAATCCTTTGTTTGGATCTTCTTCAACTTAAAGGTAGTCAGAAGAAATGGATCACCACTGGATTGATAAGGAATATCAAAATATTTCCAATTCTCATTCAAACATAGAATTCTGTCGAATCTTAAATTGCCTTTCCCTCCAAAATAGTCTTGAACCTATAATGTAAATTTCCAATAATCCACAATCAAATCTGTTTATAATGATATCTTGAAACTGGGGTCCACTTTCATCGGAATTTCCAATTTCTAAATTCTAATTCCTCCACTCTATCCTTATTAATACTTAAATAATAATTGACCAACAAATTCCTCTTAGAAGCTGCATCTCAAGTAAAATTAATATTCCAAAACTTAGAAGGCGCTTAATATTATCTTTTTCTCTTCAAACCCAAAATGATAAGGTATTATTGGAGTTATATGAATTACTATTTCTTCGGGATTCTTGTTTGTAAACTTAAAAAGAATAGGCCTTATTTCCCCATAAGCAATAACTGGTTTAGTATAATATTCAATATCAATTGGGATGAATTTAGGAAAAACTTTAAACTTGTTGTAAAAATTTACACTCTTCTTCTTTGATTGATCCTTAGCATCATAATTAATTAATATTTATGCAGGAATATTAATGAAATTCCATTGCAAACCTGTAATTATCAAATATCCAGCTGATGGAGGAGTTATGGACACTTCTAAGTATTCTTATACTGCCCTTTAAAAAGGAATGTCCTTTATCTCTAAAGTATTTATTTTTGTGAGTACATAATCTTTTTCATTACCAGCCTCTAAATCTAAAAGATTCTCTTTGAGTGTGTAAAATTGATACATTACTTATAAGCTATTGATATAACTGGGCACTTTAACTGGCAAATTAATAAAAAACCTTAAAGTGATAATGTCCTCAGCAAAGCATTGCCTTCCGAACTTGTTAATCTTGTCAATAACGTCTGAAATTTTATCAGCATTTAAAATACAAGGGGTTTTATTGAAGCATGCAATTCTTTCTTCCAAATAGATGGAATCAAAACTTCTAATGGATGCATCTTCAAAAAAGGATTCATTCTTTGAGACTGTATTCCATAAATTCTTAAATTTCTACTTGATATTAGTAAGAACAATGGAATCTAATACATCTTAACCATGCGTTAACATATCTACAGGTCCTTTGACAATTGGAATTTTCAGGTTAGTATTAGTTTAAGTGAAATACTTTCGTCTGAAATCTTAAAGTTGTTCAATTGATTAGTATGCTTTTTTCCAATCTACAACTAATTGATTATGCAATTCCAATGTCTATCTTTCATTTAGTTAATTGAATGCCAACTTAAATGAATCAATGGCTTCTTGCACTTTGTGATTCTCCAAACAATTGGCCCCTATATGTCCTTCCAACCAAAATAATAATGGCACCCATTTCGATTATTAATATAATTATTCAACTATTTTAAAGCATCTCAATGCATGCTTCTTGAAATTTTCAGATTCGTATTTATTAGCAACTAATGTCAGATTATGAGCAAACTTCCTGAACTCTGGAGGATCTAATCTTAGATGAATGAATGCTATTTATTCATAGACTAAAATTTGATAAACTACAAAATAATCCTTTTTTGTAGTACTCCCTAAATCCTTAAAATAACGATGAAATCTTTGAAGGAAATAAATCTATTCTTTACTATATTTTCCAAACATGTGAATTGTTATTATATAAAAAAACATCACTCTTAACATGTATGGGAATTGAATAAACTTATGATAACCAACCTCAATTTCATCAAAAATATTCTTTAAATTATCTATTTTCTATGATGCCAATAAGCGAGAGTATAAATAATACTCTGTTGCATACAAAGTGGCAATAGTCGTATTAGTTTTATTATTCTTAAGTTCAGTTATAAGTCCTTTATAATAAGTGACAGCACTTTCATAATCATTCATCAAAAAATGATTATCACCCAAGAATCTCAATAATTATTCTTTTTGACTCATCTTATACTCAATTTCAGTTGATTAACCTGTTCTCGTATTGAAAATGCTTGTCAAAAAAGTATCAAATGTTTTCTACTTCATTTCTTAATAGAGTTGAGTCTACTTATTGATTTGACTCTCCAATATGATCAGTGCTTGTTATAATATGACTTCCTCAATCACCTATCTATAAATCTTAGTCCATTATTCATCCAATATTCCTAAAGGATGCTTGGGAACCTCGCCTTCATAATTGTATCTCTGATATGCAAATCGAGACCAGTGAGTTTATTCAATTGGATTAGGCAAGTTGTATTTGAGTGTGTATGCTCGAAACTTGCTAAATTCCTTAAAGATCAAATCAAGAGATTCATATTACACTACCTCCTGTGCATCATTCAATATTATGATAACCTTGCTCACCATCTCCAAATCACTAAGGTTATTCTTAAAAATCATCTTAATCAAACTATTTGAATCGCTCCTTATTTTATGGATCTCCTATATCAAATTTTTCTCTTATCCACTTACTACATAGAATAATACAATTGGATGATCTAGGAAATTATAATGATATTAGAATCCTAAACAGTCTCCCACTACTTATTACAATTACTAGAACCCAGCCATCTTATTTTAATCACAAATTTGATCTAAAAGCTGTTTACTGCAATTTCTTGAGATTTAAACTTGTTCCAAAAATTGAGTATCCTCCAATAGAAGACGCGAATACTTATCCAACTTTACATTTCCAATCTGATCATATTCCTTCATATCTAACAATTTTATGTTAAGCTCCTTATCCTTCTCTCTCAAACCCAATTTCAATCTCTGCACTTTTCTAGGTAGAAATGGTCTCAAAAATTCAGCAGGAGTTATTTGATATCTACTTAGTAGAGCTGTCTGTATGAAATCAGAAGAAATCACCATACCCTTATATTAATGACAGGCTTGATTAAAGAGTTCTAGCTATGTAATATTCATTTTTAATTAAATTTTGTTTTCCAAATTCCTCATTCACTTTCGAATAATCTTTATGGATTTAGTTCAAATTCAATAACCGATATGCCTCCTTAATTTTACAACATTTTTGTATTATTCTATTGAATGACTAATAAGACATACACAATATAAACTATTATATAAATAGAAATAAGAGATCATATGATTATAATAATAAATATTTCATTCTAAAAATGGTTATGGATTATTTATTATATTTTATTTTAGTTCTAATTTAATCGCCATCTAAACTGTCTCTAAAGTCATTTTTTAATCAAATTTATATCAAACTCTAAATTCAATAGTTAAATATCTATAAAATTACATCTAATTAGCTTTTTAGAAAATAATAATTATGTAACTTTGATAACATTTAGTTAGAATTTCTTCTTTTCTATATAAATTGTTTGGTGTAAGAATATATGAATGAATATTAAAAATAATTAATTATTATGAGTGATTAATAATAACTTAAATAAGAAGTCCTGAGCAACGAAGTCTATAAAACCTGTTTCAAAATGCTTCCAGTCAATGCTTCATAAGATGAATTCAAGAAATGTATGGGAAATTATATTCAATCTTACGAGATCATATAATAGGCTTTTGAATAGTTTTTCAAGAAACCCAAGTTTCCCTAATAATAATAATGAGTTTAAAAATATCTATAAAAACATTAAAATATATTCTAATTGAATTTTCAAGCCTACTTATATTCTTTAAACAAATCAATCAAGGAACCAAAATTATATCTGACAACCTAATGCAATATTTATTCATCATTTTGGTTATGCTTTTATTTCAATTTCAAAATGCATTCTTAAGAGAATTACATTTGCTTCTTAATTTTATTAAGTAATAAAGTCTTCTTCATTGACTATCTTAATTCCTATGATATACCTATTGTTGTTTCTTCTTCTTTGGATCCAATTGTTAAAACTTCACTTAAAACATTTCTCTAATTATGTTCTTCTTCTTCGAATATTGCTTCTTAATTTTCTTAGTGTTCTCTATGATGTGTGCATATTTATTGCAACTTTCCACTGAGTCATTAGAAATGAATTAATCGGAATCCATATGATTGATATTTGAACATCGACTGCAAATGCATTATTTGCTTTTGATAGGGCAATTCCAATCAGCTCTAAGTAATATCTTTATAGGGTTGATCTAATAAATTAAACTGATTTCTTACCTTAAATTTAAACATCAAACAATCAAAGCAGAATCCATGTCTGCAATCAGTTGATTTATAATTGCTGAAACAATAGTAACAAATTTTCCCATTTTTATTGCAATAATGGCAGAACCCTTGTTTTGTAATTGAGCCGACCTAATCTTTAATTTATTATTCTGTTAAAATCTTTATGTTTGTCTTCTGCATTTCCATTTGCTATTACATGATTTGATTAGATTGCTATTTGACTACTTATTGCTTCTATATCTTGGCATCTTGTTCCTTTGTTTTAGGTTGATTGCATTTAATTCTCTACTATTGTTGTTATTATTGTTATTGTTATTATCCAATATTATATTAATACATGGCTTAATTCTATGGATTCATATAATAAAACTAAGCAGGCTACATTTATTGAGGATAAACATAATTTGGAGGTGGATGTGGGTACATATATTATTAAGGATACATGTATCCCTATTGATTATACATAAAGTTGTTTTGCATATTTTGTATTATTATAATATTAATATTAATAATAATTAATAATAATGCTAATTTCCAATTAGATATAGAAATTAATTTATAAATACTTCACACTTTATTATCATAAGTATTTTTTGATAATCCATTAAGAGTATTTAATTTCACTCAAATTAGTAACCTAAGATTTTGTGTCTCATTTTATTATTATATGCTTTTTAAATTTAATAATAATGATTCAGTAAATACATATTTACTTGAATTTGGAATATTGGGACTAATTGACTTATATTATAATTACATATATTTATTGAAGATAACCTGTTGTAATCTGTGCTCTCAATTTCATGAAGTGATATTAAAGTCTAGGTAACAGTATAGTTCTCTATAAGAATGTATTCAATTAATATAATTTATTCCTTATAATATTTATATGAATAATTTTCCGGAAGCATTTTTAGTATTTAATAGCATTTCAAATTCAAATCAATTTATTAATTAAATAAATTTTATGTGGAGGCTCAAAGAGTTTGTGGATGGTTGAATATCGTCATACATTAGTATGTGCCTCAAAGGAATATTTAGAGTATAATTAGCTGATGTTCACTATGATTGGGCATTTGTTGACAACTCTTGAATAAACTTTATCAATATTATGAGTAGCTAACAAACTCTTTAAATTTTGGTTTAATACATAATTTAAAGCACGTTAGCTTAAAGTAAACAAAAGAGAAAAGAAGACTTTTCATGTTTTCGAAATTTGCAACTCTCTTTTACATAAAATGAATAAAATTAACATCTTGATGTTCATTTCTATGTGCTTAAAGTGTTGAATATACTTTAACTTCAAATGATATCATAAAAGAATCCCAGAATCATTCGACATAAGTTATGTTTAAATGATAACCCAATGTAATTAAATTCTGGAATAAATATTATTAACAGCTGGATTTATGCGTAGAAAACAAACACGTCAATGTTTGAGTTTCTCAAGTATTCAGCATAAATAAATTAAAATTCACAAAGCAATCAAGTACTCATATATTACATGTATTGCTGCTCGTTTTTTAACACCTCTTTAAATTAATAAACTTATTAAAGCCATCAAACTACTTGGAAGTTGGGTCAATTAATTGATCAACTTAATGCTGATGGCTAAATTAAATATAGAATTATTAGCAGATATTGATTAAATATCTATATCTGTCAGTCCTTCTTGCACAATATACTAATTTTAAATAAAAAGAAATTATATATATTATATATTTAATGAAATCTCCAGAACCATTGAAATGTCCAGAACATTCAAAACCTTTAAGTAAAATCTGCATAGATGAAAAATGTGATCTTTAACCATATTTGTGTGTAGATTGTCTTTAAACTCATTTATGTCATAGTTATGAAATATAAAATGGGATTGAAGAGTTTGCAAAAAAATTGAATGTTAATTTAACTTAGTTTGAGAAAATGCAACTTTAATTTAAGTAACTGGATACTGATTAATTTGCAACATTTATGAAGACATAAAAGTAAAGGGTTTCTGAAGATATGTAAAAAATTAAAAAGAAAATAATGCAAAAATGTGATAATTTAGAAAGTAAACTCTTAGAAACCTTAGAAGAATAGGTGATTATTTACAATAAAAATGTTTAACAATTCAAATAACAATTGAAAGAAACTGAGAAATTCCAATCACTCCAGAAATCGTCAGATTTATCCATACTTAATTGCATTTTGGGTGTAAAACTGCCTAATCACAATGATCCAATAAATGTAATGAGAAAGTTTAAATCTCATCTGTTAAATTATACTATATTTTCTAGTAGTGGCAAGATCAAGCAATTATAAGAATAATTGATACTTTTATAAAGTTAATCAGTGTTTCCACCCACATTCAAAAGTTAGGAATTCTAAAAGAATGAATACAATAGATTAATTAATTACTTCGATTAATATTTATCAAATATTGAGTCAAACATCAAAACCTATATTAAGTCATTTCCAATCACTGATTTTGATTCAAAGAGTATTTAAATCAAATCAACAAAAAAAGAATAGAAACTAATTGAAGAGGACTAATGCATTACTAGTTTTGTGATGTTACAAAATAACCTGATCTATGCATTGAATGATATGACAATTAAAATAAGAGATAAATGCTACAATGAAGTTGAAGTAATTCAATGTGAAACATAAATAAATTGCATAATTGAGATCAATTGTTAAATTACAGAATTGACACAGTAGATTTTAGTTAACAAGTCATAAGATTTAGACTTTAGCAAAGCAACCATATTGGCTTTGGGAGGAGATGATTATACTTTAATTTGGAACTGTTCTTAATCAAGTATTTAGCAATTAAGGAAGGTGCAACATCAAAGAATGAGCAAAGTTGTATCTCTCTTAAGCTTTGATAATCTATTGTTAATAGGGGATTGGGATGGACAAATCTTTGGCTATGATTTAAATTTATAGAATCCCCTTTACATTGTTGATACATCATCTACGATATTGTTTGCACTAGTTAAATCATCTAAGTTTGTAATTTCTGCATCCAAATGTGATTTAGAATAAGGAGGCATCATATTTTGGAATTACAACAAAAATGACTTGTATTAGGAAAAAAGAATAAAAATTTAATCTGTTTAGAAGGTGGCTTAATCGAATGATCAATTGTTTGTGGTTGACATAAAAAATAAGTTGTACATATACGATTGCAGATCTATTGAGTTGATTAAATCATTTATTTGCAGTGAGAGTTTTGTAAATGAAATTGCTATTGATAATTCCTAGCAGATTTTGTATGTCTTGAATTAAACTTGCTTAAAATCTATATCGGATTAATTCTAATGGAATTATTAAAGCTATGAAGATTTTCCTTGTCTTCAATGTAGATAATATTATTAGAGCAACAGGCTTTTCGTTAACGCAAATGTGATTGCTTTCATAAGACATTTGCATCAATGCAAACATGAATAGGGAGATGATGATAAATGTTCAATGAAGTCGACATTGTATTTAATGTTTTGAAGTTGGAGTGATATAAATTTATTATTTTAATAATATGCACCATCGGCATTTAGTATTATTATAAATGTCTTCATATCTTAAATTAAAATAAATAATATTAATAATTCATAATGCCTCATGTATTAGAAGATTTAAGGAGAGTCTTTCCAAAAAAGTCATTTCTACTCCAAACCTATATGTTAGGTTGTTTCTACTTGATACATCAACAACTAAATATTGACGAGAAGAAGAAGGAAAAACAGACGATGCCGATATGGAGATCAAAGTTAATTGAAAATCAACACCAACGACATTTGAAATAATTTTAATTGAAAATCTTAATCGATTAACAAATACCACTCAAACCTAGACACAAATCGTCTTATGGCTTGATGGAATTCAGTAATAGATTGTCATTTATATTTTAGGAACACCGCAATTCGTTGAGTTTCCAAACCTGAATCCTCCCAACACAACCTCATAAGTGGTATTATTGGAGTATATTCTTTAGCATACCTTACAAATCGACTCGAAGCAGATTCAGAATTTCAGTTTGGATGACCTATCAACTATCGAAAGCGAATTTGTGCCCGATTTGAAAACAGACTTGCAAGTGCAGAAGTCTGTAGACATGACATAGAGTTGCATCTTTTGAATTTGTTTTTTTACTTCTCCTTTTTAATTATATATATATTATACATATAAAGAAATATATATATTTAAATTTCTCTTCAATCAGTTATTTATTTAAAAATGTCTTAAAAATCAAAAACACTATTACAACTACTTCAGCAACAATAGCATTTCCATGATGATATCAACACATCCTTAGAGTCTAATTACAGACACAGTTCAGAACACACAGAAAAGAAGTTTGATCTCAAATTACAAAAATCCATACTCGATCTCTATTCTCAAATTAAAAGCAATATCCTTAAAACTGAAGATCATGTACTAATCCTAATCCCAATTAGTTGCTACTATGTCAAATTAGAAAGTTAGTCCCTTTGGACAAGCCAGAAGATCTTTACTCAGATCCAAATAGTTTGATTTGTTATATTGGATGCATTTTCACAGTTCTCATGCAAGATAAAGTATTTTTTAAATCCTATTAGTTAAATTTAGAATAATAAGTAGAAGAACAAAAAAATAGAGATCAAAGTGATTACGAGGAGCAATTAATCAAACTCGAAGCAGAAATCAGATAACACATAAGAGTAATCTTAAATACCCTATATTAGATTGAATAACAATTGAAATTATTTGCAGAAAACACTCAATCCAAATTGGAAGATGCTTTAAAAATAAAAGAAGACTTGGAAGAAGAATTGTAAGCAATCAAAAGCGATTTCTAAGTCTTATATGAAAAGAACAATACCTTGAACCAAAAACTAAGAACATAAGAAAAAGAAATTTAGATTATCAAAAATAATAATACAATTGAAACTACAAATCAATCTCTTAAATCAAATTAAAACAATCAAAAACATGTATCTAAAAAAGAGAATATTGAGAATGAACATCCAAAATAACAATCAATTACAATAAATTTATAGATAGATAAATAAAAACCTCCTCTTTAAGACTATGTATTATTTGCAATAAATTTAATAGTAAGATAGACTCCAAACTGATCCATAAGATGATTACTTTAAACCCAGAAATGACTCCCATAAAAGAATCATTTCAACCCATGTAGCCAATACTTAAAATAATAATAAATCAACCTATTTACCAACCAGAATACAAACAGAATCATGTGAGTATTAAGATAGAAAGAGAAAACATAATTTATCTCAATACGAAACTTCAAATGCAACTAAACATTAAAGAAACAAAACAGCTTAAAATGTTTTGAATCTAATAAGTATTTAATATTCTCATTACAGAAGATTAAGAACTTAAACGACAGTAATCAGTAAAAGCATGTTAAGATAAAAGTTAATGTAATCAAAACAAAGCAATTAAAAAACCCTCAAATTCACAACATCAACATGCTGAACCTAATAGATCCAATAATTCTGTTCACAGTTTTCGTAAACAACCTCCTGAAGTAAGTCAGATTCCTAGACCCTTTTCATGTGCTGAATAAATCGAAGAATCAAATAATTCTGTAACTTGATTGTTTATCTTAGTTTTAAAAGGATCTAAGTATGGATATGGGTAATTATTAGAAGCAAGGTGGAGAGTATCCAGATAAATAACAATAAATAAAAAAACTATTGCAATAATATCAATAGAAACATTGTCTAAATGACACTTTGACCAAAAAATTACTCTAAGAATACAAAAAAAGATAAGGATACAATTGCAAGACAATTTATTGATAATTAATTAATTTTTATCCATTTATTTATTGGATTCTAGATGATCATTTTTATTTTATTATCAGTTTTAATATTAAGTAATTTATTTCTATTTTTTATAATAATCCTAAAACACAATGTAAGACGATGTTTTTGATGAAATAAAAAAGGAACTGCAATACTGTAAATACCTGAACTATGCTCATATTGCGATGTCATTTCTTGGATTCTTTGGTTATATGGCTAGAAAGGTAATTTTCATTTAAATATAGATGTATTTAAGATTTTCTTCACCTTATTCATTAATGTCCTCTCTATTCTGCTATCTATTTTAGGTTATTATGCAATTGAAGAAATCAATAAAAAGAGAATCGTTGTGTATGCAGTTTTTACGAGTTCACTTTTTGGAATGGTCTTATTTTACGAGATAATTGCTGATTTATTTTCAGAATCTTACGTAGCAAATATGATTATTGAAGGAAACTGAAGCCCCCCCATAAGCCTTTGTGTTTTTAGTTATAACTTTACCTTTTCTAATAGATCTCACAAGTGGGTTGATGAGTTTAAAACTAAGCCATACCTTCTCAAAATATGATAATTTGGAGTTTAAAAGAAAATATAATGTATTGATGAATTAATCTAGTAAATCCTCGTCGTTCAAAAAGGACCAGAAGTAAATTATAAAGAATCTTACCTAGCAGATGAGATGTGTGTGATATGTTTAAGTGAAAAGAGGAACATTGTTTTCTATAAATGCGGACATAAAGTCTGTTGTAAAAAATGTTCACAAGCTTTTAAATACAAGAGTTGTCCAATGTGCAGAGCTTAAATCTAGGATTTTATTTAAGAATATGATGCTTGAAATTATTTCATAACATTTTATAACAATATCATATTATGTTTTAACCTTCTCAAGCATATTGTATTTTTATTAATTTATTTTAAACTTTTTATAGTAGGCATACTATGTAGATTATTATCATTTAAGAACAATGAGAAAATGATATTACCTCAACATTTCCGATTTTTAATTTCTTGATTAAATGAAAATCGATTATTTTCAAATTTATCCTTTTTTATAGCAAAGAGTTTGATATCATAGATTATATTACCTTTGAAAGAATTCTAAAATGAATTAAAATTAATTCTTTAATTAATGAATAATAAGGAAGAAATAGTCCTTGGATTTTTAGAATAAACAGATGATATCCTAAATGCAGATGATGAATTACCTTCCTATGCTAATGGATTACCTGTAGAAGATTTTCATTAAATTTTAGTATTTTTTGGAGAATGAAGATAAATTCGAATCAATAAAATGTGCTAAATGCGGAAATCAAATGAAATTGTTGCTTTAAGTATAAATCTATTCCTACTCTTAAGATCTATGCTCCCTTGAATAACAAGCATGCTTCATATAGAGAAATTTATGTTTTCCTTTGCTTAAATGAACAATGTTCTAAACATAATAGCAGCGTCAGAGTTTTTAGAATGCAATCATCTTAAAAGCCTTAACTTTTTCAATCCAAAATCAAAGACTATATTCTTTCTCCCTCAAACAAATCATTTATTATCGATACTGAAATAATAAGTGCTAAGGAGAATAATAATGAATTTTAGGTGGCTGAAGAACTATTACCTACTAATTAAGAGGATGAAGACAAGGATGTAGATTTGAAGAATGTTAAATTTGACAATGAAAATAAAATCTATGAGAATTATCTCAAGAGTACTGAAGAGAAAGAAGATATTGAAGACATAGATGGATTGGAAAAAGATCAATAAAATAATATTGATGGTTGTTTTCTGATTTATTAACAGTATTTGTCAAATCATAATTAGTTTTCTCACCTAATATTAGAACCATGTTGTCAGATATTGTTTTGACTCTCAAAGTAAACCACTCTGGTTTAGTGATAAGAAATAGCCATAAATTGAATCCAAATGTCCACATTGCAAAAAGAATAAAATATTCGAATTCTAGATTAATAACTCAATACTTACCTACTTTCCTGAATTGTACAACTTAGAATGGGGAGCATTATATATTTACAGTTGTCCTTCAAGTTGTTCGGTTGGTGGGTAAATACTCGTTGAAGAAACAGTTTATGCTCATTCAGATGAATAAGAATTTATTAGTCCAAATCTCAAGGTGGATCCAGATACAAAATTAGTAACAATCAAGTAGGATGCAAATAAAGGGAATAAATAGAAGCAATAAATTTAATAATAATAATAACAAATCTAGTAAAAGATAGATGAGTAGGATGAAGAAGATGATTGGTGAATAAATTCATTGTATTTACAATATTTTTATATCAAGACTTTAAGTTTAAATTTAAATAATGTTTAACTATAAAAAAGATATATCAGTAATAAGTTTTTTAGAATCAATAATAGTTATATCTGAAATATAATACTCATCTAAACATTTCAGTTTAATTAAATAATTATTAGTTATATATATTGTTAGAAATCTATATAATTAACAGTCACTTGAATTCAAAGTATATAAACCATATATACTTATTTTATTACTTTAATTTGAAGGCAATTGATCATTTCTCTTAAATTAAAATCATTCTATAAAGAAATCTATAATATTTATGGAAAATCCAGGAATTACTTAAATCTAAATAGTATTCGATTTAAAGAATAGATAACTATTTATAAAGGAATGCTAATATTATTTATAAATATTAATAAATTAATAATATGCAGATTAGAAAATCAAATAAAGTAGTAGTGAATAGGATTGAGAAAGTGAACTCAGAGTTATTGACTTTAACTTATGGTGCCATAGTTTCCCAAATAATCAAGGATAGTGATACTGTAATTGAAGCGAATGAATAATTGGAGAAGATGGGTTTTAATATTGGACAAAGGATCATTGATGAATACCTTTCAAAAGCAGAAATCAAGTAATGTAGAGACAAGATTGATGTTGCAGAAAATATTGGCAAGGTTTGTAATTATCATAAAGATAGGGAGCCATGTAAATGTTTCTTGGAGTGACAGCTGAAGTAGAAGTGTTACCTGAGACTGACAAGATATTCACTTTTAATTTGCATTTCACAGAGAATCCTTTGAATGATTTTGTAGAGTTGCCAGAACATTTGCAAGGACTCAATTACTCAAACATGATTGCAGGAGCCATTAGAGGAGCTTTGTCAACTGTATAGTATAACAATTCATATAGATTCATTGGATAGCTACTTGTAGATTCTTGAAGGATCAATTGAAAAATGATGATAAAACTATTTTGCAGGTGGAAATGATTAGAGAAAAGTTCAAAGATGATGAATGATTAATATAATAAATATTTTAATTTATGTCAACATATAGGGGAACATTTGAACACGACTCATTTTTGGGATGGCTGAACCTATTGAAGATCAGAAGATTACAGTTTCTCAATGATGTTGGTGAAAGACCACCTTATCCAGTTATCATTAGTAAACCTACTGTTGGAGATGTACATTAATATCATATATTGCAAAGGTATTGAAGAATTTGAACAAGGCAGATTTCGGTCTATTTGCAACTGTGACATTTTTGGGTTTCTTTGCTGCCAGAAAAGCCACTTTGGGATTAACCACTACTGAGTTTGTTAGATAGAGAGGATTCTCGATTGCTTGGAATTCAATTATGATGGCTGGAGCATTGTTTGCTTGCATGAATAGTAACAATAGACTTACTGTACATTCCTATTAATAATGATTTAGGGATTTGTGGACAATGGATTGCAATGGAGAAGAAAGGAGCAAAGATTAACCAAATACGATTTCACATCTGAATTCGAAGAAGGCACTATTTGGAAATTCTTCAGATTAAGATGACATTAAATCATTTATTCAATGCATATATTTCATTATTATTTTATTGGTATCAATATTATATTAAAATGCAATTCATTAAAAATTTTAATTATTGATTTAATGCAATAGCAATAGTAATAGGAGATGCTGAAGAATTTGACTAATTAATAAGTTGTGCAATACAACAAAATGAGACAGGACTATGCTGAAATATTCAGAATCTATCTTGATATTGAAGACGAGAAGAAGGAACATACATTAGTTTTGGATGCAGTCAAAAATGTTGATCCAAAGAGAAGGTGAATCACTCTATCTATTATAGATGTTGGAGATTGATTGGTGGAGTTCTTGTCGAAAGATAATTGGAAGATGTATTGAAATCATTAAAGGAAAGCTTGGAATTGCTTGAAAAGACTGGATAAAATTTACAACACTGCTATGAAACAGAAGTATGCAGATTATATTGAGATTATTTTAGAGAAAAAGAATTACTTGAATTCGAATTAACTCACAACTTGAGACCCTAACAAAACCAACAATAACAATAGCAACCCGTGGCATCATCCAAAACATAAGGAGTCTTAACTTGAAGCATCATTGCGTTTTATATTCACAATATTAATAATAAATATCAATGTTTTTTAAATAATATATATATATATATGTCTCTATTTTATTAACAAAAAGAAATTTAATTTCATTTACTTGGTTAACATCTCTTCTTTTTATTTGAATCTATTGAAATTTTCCATTGCTATTCTTGCTAAATACTTATTCCTATCTCATGTTATGTTTAACAGGTTCAAATAAAATTGTTAATTAGAATTCCTTCCAATTATTATTAGTAAAATTTGACTCCATTATTTGAACTTTTTTTTCAATTTGCATAATATATTTTATAATTCAAAAATAACTTTTAAATACAATATGAATTCCACCTGTTATAAAATAGAAATTATTACATTTCTAAGTACAAGAATTGTATCTCTTTATAACGTGATAAATTGATTATGCAACAAAGGAAGGTTATCAATGCAATGCATAGATAATATATACAATTCACAATAATGATTTCCTCTTAGCAACAATAAAATAAGAGGAAACAATTTTCATGAATAGAATAAAATTAAGATTTCAATTGAAAAGAGTGGTTTATCAAATAATCCTAAAGAAACTTAAATTTATTAGATCAGGATTGCTTCCACAATCCATAAAATTTAAGAAATCCACAAATTGACTTTTTTTTTTCTTTATAACAGTTACTATTATTAACCAATTTGAGATATATAAAAAATTAGTTCAATCTCCTGAATTTTAATTAGAATATATATGAAAAGTGTCATTGGCTAATGTCATAAATTTGGTCACTTTTAATTTACTTTTCCAAATTCTTTGATCAGATTTTCCTTTAAATAAAGAGTGCTTCTAATCTCAATTTTACAGGGGAACAACAGGTCCAGCTTGAAAAGTCTCAAAGTGAGTAATGGAATATACTTTACAACTCTGTCTTAAATTGGATCGCATTTAGGTTACATATTAATATTTATTATCGTTTTTTTAACAATGAATTAATTCTTATTTTCCTTATTGATTGTCACTATTCACTGTGGCTAAGAGTAAGGTAGTTTCCTATAAGAGAAACAAGATAACCAAATATTCACCATAAAGTTAAAGGAGACTTAAAAAATTGTAAGTGATCCAATTTGAATCATAGGTGACAGCTAAAGAAATGTATGATTTTCTATCAACTAAACAAACTTATTTTCGCTAACATATTCCTATTGACATTTCGGAAATAGAATTTGGAGGATATGTTCCTAAACTACAAGAAAATGAGAATAGGAAGAAAACTTCTTTGAAATTACACAATTTCAGGAATACTTAATTCACTGGGCCTATAACAGTAGGTGATTAGGAATTCTAAGTGATCTTTGACACTGGTTCTGCAAATTTTTGGATCGACTCTACTAAATGTAAGAATGAAGGATGCAGATAACATACTCAATACCAACCAAGTTTGAGATCGAAGCATTTGGGATATGCTCTGAATGTTGAATTTGGTACTGGAGATTTGAATGGGGAAATTAATTCAGATGTTGTTCGCTTAGGAGAAATAGAGGTTGAAGACTAAAATATCGCTGAAATAATTGAAGAAAATGGTTCAGTTTTTTAAAATGTATGAAAGTTATATAAATTTAAAGGCAGGCTTTGATGGCATAGTGGGCTTGGGCTATCCCAGTATGGCAGCTTATAACTTTAACCCATTGTTTGACAATATAATGCAAGAGAAGAAATTGAAATCTAACTAATTCTCATTTTATATGAGTAATTAGGTCAATAGCTACGAATCCTAGATTACTTTTGGTGGCTATGATGCTGCAAAACTTGATGGGGAAGTTCATTATCATCCAGTCATTGATCAATACTATTGGATGATATAGGCTGACAATATTTTGGTTAACGGCAAGGATGAGGGATTCTGTCCTAAGGGTTGTAAAGTAGTAGCTGACACAGGCACTTCATTAATCACAGGTCCTTTTGAAGATTTGATGAAGCTCTTGGGTATTTTAAGGTTATAGATTTAGATTTAACTAATATTAATGATGATTGTTCAAATTTGAATGAGTTGCCTAAATTGACATTTAGAATTGGCGGAGTTGATTATGATTTAGATTCGAAAGATTATATAATGGAATTGAGAGATGATGGTACAGAAATACCTCTCAATAATGATGTTTCAGCTTCAGCATTTATTCAAGGAACCTCTAGTAGATGCATAGGAGCATTTATGCCTTTGGACATACCAGATCCACAAGGACCTGCATGGATTTTGGGAGACATTTTTTTGACTAAATACTTAAGTATTTATGATCGAGATGCAAATATGGTTGGATTTGGAAAGGCCAAACATTGATTAAATAAATTTATGCTACAAAAATTATAATCAACTCAAAAATGAACTTGATGATTTGGTAGATGACAGTATAAAACTGCTTTCTATTATATTGGAGCCATTTTGAATTACTTTAGTTGTTGTTGATAATCTATGAATTAATTAATTCGTTTACTTTGCACCTCGGTTTGTCTCTTTGTCAATTTTTAGAGTAATTAGATATTCAAATGCCAGAACTGAGCTGTAATTACTTGAATTTCAGGCGTTGTATTATGTGTTTTGAGTTGATCATCTATGGTTCTGAACAACCCTTCTGCAGACATATATCTTTATTCAACTGTATTCAACCATCCTAAGCCCATCAAAGATTGATGCACTTAGTTTTTGGCCTTCTTTTCTGTGAATTTCAAAAATCTATTTAGTACCTAGCCAACAATAGTCTAAATTGTAAAATGTGCTTTACTTTATTGTAGGTCTACACATTGGCAGATATAATGAAATCAGTCAATGCCTTGTAAAGTTTGAGCGAGAACTCAATGGATGGCATTTTATCTACTTTGGCTTCTGCATTCAAAAAATGATCCAATAATATCTATCCTTATTGCATTCCAAAATTGGCATTGAATGAAACTGGATTGTAGCCGTGTCCGGATGCCAACCATTTCAAAATGGCATAATCGAGGAGTGATTATTCTGCATATTTTTATCCTTACCTTTTTGAAATCTGGCTTCTGAGTATTCAATCAATGACATTAGCTTCTCTTCTGTTTCAGGCGAACTCAATAGAGCATAGTTATACTTAATCATATTTATAATAATATACAGCTTCAACTCTTTTGAATTCATAATGCAATACATTTCCAATAAATTCTGGCTCATGTTAAGCAAGTAGATCCACATTATGATTCGTGTTGTAATACAGATTGTTTTGCATATATTATAATACATTTCCAAGAGTGTCTAATTTGAATTGCAAAATATCGTTTTGCTATTTTGGTCCTATTTTTACGGCGTTTTGATATGATCTAATTGATTAAGTGTGATATTACATTGACAATAAGTCATTAGGCAAACGACCATGAGGTTTGAGAATCTGAATCAATCTTAAAAATAAATCGTGCGCTTATGAGAATGCATGGTTATTCATAAGAGTCTAAGCTTGCTGAAATTCATGCATATGATAGAAGGCATGTGAATATAAATACACAGACTTTTTTAATAACATAAGAATAATTATTAATATCTATAAGAATTTAGAATGTTATTGCTAGCCTTCGAAAATTTTATCATTATTAGATTTGATCAATTTGCTTAAAATTAATTAAAACATAGGTGTGAATTGCATTAGATATTATAATTGGGTGCAGAATCTTATTAATTTTCAATAAATATAAATCTTTAATGAAAGCAGCTTAGCAACTCTGTGAGAATCGACCAGGAGAAAAAGTTGAGAACCAAGACTACTTCATCCAACAATACTATATTGAATGTTTGTCCACATTTTCTTATTACATCGAATCCAAAGGAGAGGCTTGTGTTATTGATCCATTGAGGGATATTGAATAATATGTGTAATGAATGCATAACTATATATGAAGTCAATTAGCCAAAGAGAGAAATGCTAATATCAGATGGGTGCTTGAGACTCATTTCCATGCAGATTTTGTAAGTGGACACAGAGAATTGGCAGCAATCACTGGAGCAACCATAGTCTATGGTCCTTCTGCAGTGGCTAATTTCCCTATAAAATAAGCAGAAGATGGAGAATTGTTACCACTAGGATCTGTCTAAATAAGAGTGGATCACACTCCAGGACATACAATGGAATCCAGTTGTTTCGTTCTAGTTAATTAAGGAAAAGACCACTCTGTCTATACTGGAGATACCTTATTTTTGGGTGAAGTGGGTAGACCTGATTTGGCTGTAAACAACGAAGAACTTACAGTTGAGATGTTGACCTCATATCTTTATGACTCATTGAGAAATAAGGTTATGAAATTAAATGATGATGTAATTGTTTTTCCTGGTCACGGAGCTGGCTCATCATGCGGTAAAGCCATTGGAACAGGAAAGTCTTGCACTATTGGAATTCAAAAATAGAAGAATTATGCTTTGCAACCAATGTAGAAGGAAGAATTCATTAAAAAGATACTAGAAGGCATGCCCAAGCCTCCCTAATACTTTTTCCATGATGCAAAACTTGTAAGTATATATAAATATAATGTAGAACAAATGTGGCCCAAATGATATCACAGCTTTATTGAATGAAGTTTTAAAACCATTGGAATTTGAATAGTTTATGGAATTCGTCAAATCTGGAGCGACTATACTTGATACAAGACCTAATGTTACAGAGGGAATTGTAGATGGAGCAATCAACATCTCATTTAAGTCAGGATTAGTCAATTTTGCTGGAAATATCATTAAGCCAGAAACTAAATTAGTAATTATGGCCAACTAAGATGACGTTTAAGACACAATCCTCAGATTATTAAGAATTGGATACGATAATATCTTAGGCTATTTATAAGGAGGATTTGAAGTTTACAAAGCCAATGGTGGACCATTAGCAACTGTCAAAATAGTCAGTCTAGTTGAGTTTTGTGATGTTAAAGCCGACCAAGGTATATAATTGTATAAAGATATAGAAAATCATGTATTTTTAGATGTCAGAGGACCAGGAGAACATAAAGAGATGGGATTTGTAAAAGGAGCTATTAGAGTTCCATTACCAGAAGTGGAAGCCAATCTTGATAAAATCCCAAAAGATAGGTTTGTGCATGTATATTGCAAAACAGGAGGAAGGGCGAAAATGGGAATGAGTCTTCTTGTTAAGAATGGTTATAAGAATGTTGTTATTGCATAAGAAGGTGGATTCATTTTGATAAAAGAAAAATAATTGATGGAAATAGAATATATTTGATTTCATAAATTTTAAGAGTAAAAGTAGTATAATAAATAATAAAAAAAAAAATATTAAATTTGAAATTAATAAAAAGAATTCGAATATAATTATAAGAAATTATGAAGGAATGGTTATGAATACAAATATAAATTATAATTTTTGTACACGAACCAATACTCTCATTATTATTTGCATTCTGGTTTTTCAGCTTTTCCTTTTTTATCCTTATCAGACTTTTTGCTGTCACCACTCTTCTTTCTTTACTATTAATATATATAAAATAAACTTACGCTCTTTTTCTTTTTGTCATCACCCTCATCATCGTCATCTTCTTCATCCTCATCATCTTCATCGTCTTCATCTTCATCAACGTCTTCATAATCTTCATCATCTGGATTAATTCCTAAGAAATATTCCAAACTGTAAGGAATGACTTCTTCTGCAATGGTCTTTCCAATTTCATAATCTTCATCAATATTCTATAAATTCTCATAATTATAAATACTCCTGCTTTTCCTTCTTCTTCTCCCTCATCCTTATCTTCTGAATTCTTGAAGAAATTGAAGAAACTCAATTGAGTTTCCTTCTTTTTGATTGTTCTTGAAGCTCCAGTCTTTTTGTTTTTTTATTTCTAACATACTAACACATTATTACCTTCTCTACAATCTTAACTGTAACATCCTTGCCTTCATTCCATTCTATCACAGTTCCAACTGTACTTGTTGGGAAGTCTTTGCCTTCTTCAATGATGAATTTCTTTGTCAATTCTTTGTTCTTGAAGTGCTCATTGTCCTTGAATGTGAATCTAAGGGTGAAGACTTCAGTATCAGCTGATGTTTCCAAAACAATTGAGGTTAAGAATTTAAGGATGTCCTTGTCCTTCTCTCCAAAGACATGAGATAAATTATCGCAATTTGTTAAGACAGTTCCCCAATAAATTTTCAATTGGTTCAGCTTTTTAGGCAATTTATTAGGCTTCTTATAATTCAGCTTCAGAAAAGAATTCCTTGAATAGTTCTTGTTCCTCTGCACTCACAGCTCTTTAGCCATTAATGAGGGATTGTTATTCTGCATAGATTGGTAAAGATTTGATATCATATTGCTTTTAAAGGGCATGGATCTTCTCTTCACATTCCTTGTCTAATTTCTCCTTTTATAGATAATGATGTTAGATGGCAATAGCCTTGAGTCTATCCTTAAGTGGAAGTTCCCTAATCTTATTTTCTAAGGTCTGAACATGTAATTCATGTCCCTCCTTTGCTTCATTTGTAGTTGGTTAAGCTCCGCCTTCCATTAATTTATAAAAAAATGTGGATTTAAATAATTCATTAATAAGGGGGTATTTATATATTAATAATCACTTCTAATAACTCAAAATAATTAACTTTATATCAAATATCAATTTGTTTTATAACAGGAACAAAATCTCTCAAAGTTTCACTTATCTCATCCTTGCTTAAAAAAGGATTAATCACAATTATGTTCTTATGACATTTTTAAATATCACAAATCTTGGTATGTATTTGAAATATTTAAAATATTTTGAATAACTTTAAGCTTCATTAATCAATACATGAAATAATTTATCTCATATTAATGCATGCAAATTAATTTGAAATAAAGTTTTAAAATAAAAACATATATATATGATTGAACTATGTAGCTAATTAAACCAATATAAATTTAATTTTTATACTTTTCATTTTAAATTGTGTTTGGAATTATCCAATAAGATTAATATTATAATAATCTTACCTCCATTAGTAAAAATTGTTTTTAAATTGGATATTATGATTGATATTCCAAGCATTTCTCATTAAGTAAACTGCCCACGAATGCAATGAAAACTAAAGCGATTTCTGATTGCAAAGATACCTGCTTGTATGATTGCAAATAATTATTTTCATTCTCTCATTGAGTGACTGATTGGATGCAATAACTTGTGTAATATTCAACCACATTTGCTTTATTATATGATGATATTAGGATTCATTTTGGTATAATTATAAAATCAATTTATGTTTCGATCGAATTATTTAAAGTAGAATTAAAAATTCTTGTTTTTAACATACATAAAATATTATTTTAATTTCTAAGATAATTCTTATAAAATGAGAATTTAAAAATTAACATTATGAGTTTAATTCATATTCAAATTATTATATTTTATTCAATATTTTTCACTTGATTTTAATTAATAAAACCAAATGTGTGATTAGAGTCTAATACAGCATAAAATTATTGATTTGATTCCTCTAAGTTTAAGCTAAATAGTCTTGCTTTGATTTCCTCTATTCCATTATTACTGTTCTCCCCAAAATAATTTAAGCTAATTCTAGAAATATTTGAAATTAAATTATTCTACGATTCATCTTCTTATTAAATTTTTATGGATTCATCTTATTAACAAGACTTTTTACAGAAATTGTTACTTAGTTGTTTTTTCGATATTTTTTTACTACCCCTCACCTTTTTTTAATATTTTCCTCCTTATTAATTCTTATGCACTCTTTATCGCTAATGAATGCTTTTCTAATATCCTATTTTAAAATTCTTGATTTCTCCCATCTATTGTTCAAATAGGTTGTCATTTATTTATTAGTATGCCATATTTAATTGTAGTAATAATTTTACATGTTATTTTAAGAGAGTTAATTAGGAAATGATCGATATATTTCAATCTGTCGTCATAGTCCGACTCTTGTTAATCTTAAAACAATATTCAAGCCATAAAGCACAAGATAATTACTAGAATCTCTATTTTGATAATTTTCAGAGTCAGATAATATTTTCTTTACTTCCTCTTCCCAATTTATCTGTTAATTCAAAGTAGTTGAAGTGTCTATTAAATGACTAGACACTGATTCGAAACTGAGATCTTTAGTGACAATCCATATATTTTGATATCTACTCCAAGATGTATGATAACTACTATCTCTAAAATTATCCTTATAGTTAGATAACCTAATGGCAGAAGAATAGGTTTCAATAGGTTGACCATCCAAAAAGGGAGACGGAATTTTGGAAGTAGAATAAATTAAGAATTTGATAGGTAAGAATCCTTTTTTATTTAGTATTAATTATTATAA